CCGTTTGAGTCTGCCTGAAGGCATCAAGCTCTCTGCAGGGATTCTGCACTCGGCCACTTAACCTGGATACCTGTTCACTCAAATCCAACCTACCAGGGTTGAATTAAGAGCACAGTTTGGGGTTTATGAAGCAGTCCTCAGCAAGCTAAAATAACACAAGTGTCACTTAACCACACACACACACTAATCAGAGACAGAGACACAGAGAGGGAAAGTTGGTGAAATGTGAATAAAGAGAGGACTTTAGAGTAAAAAAGAGTCTTGCTGGGACCAACTGGCCATGTAAAGAGTCAGGCCATCCTGCCTGTCAGACAGCGGCTGGCTGGAGGAACCCAGGAGTGAGAGCTGCTGTCTTGTCGTTAGATAATCCCTCCAGCACACAGCAGCGGCAGGGGGGCCGGCTGGGGCCTGCTAAAGAGAGCCAGTGCTGATAGATATCTGTGTGTATTTATCTGTTTCTAATGAGAGCTGATTAGCTGCCCACAGAGCGGGAACATAAGCCCAAGAAAAGTAAACACTGGAGAAAACACCTTTGATATGAGCATTATGCTGCAGGATATAAAGGGGTTAATTTATGTTTGTTTTCCTCTGTCATGAATCAAATATGTGAGTATTTATTTTATACAAACTCCAAAGACAGTGTGCTCCGTGCTGAGATGGACTCGCATGGTTAATGGGTGTGTATGTACGTTTTGAGTGTGTTTTCTTTGCCTTAGGGTCTTGCTGTACACCCCCCATCCTGCAGAGGAGCCCTTTGGCGGGGTCTGACTTCACATGAATATGGATGAGGGGGTAACTCACAGGGGGAAGCTGGGGAATTTGATGACAGTGCAGGAAAAGACCCAAGCATCTACAGGGATGTATGACTTCCCAGCCCTGCCACTGATATGATAAAGTGGCTGTATTTGAATATGTGTGGGTGGGTGTGAGAGTGTGTGTGCGGACACGTGTGTGTGTCCCATATGGATATGAATAATGTATTGATAGCCAGCCCCCCTGCGACAGTCTATACAATCTCAGCCATGTGTGTGTTGTGTTTAGCCGGCCCAGCTGGCAGGGTCACTGGGGATGCTCGACACATTATGTCACAGTCCCGGGAGAGGTGTGGGTGCATGTTCCCTTTTCACCATCAATCAGCAGAGTAAACTGTTTAACAACAACAACAATGAGGCGGCTAAGAGGCCCCTCAGCTCATGCCAGAAGTGGTGATAATTACCTAAACATGAAGTTGTCACTCCTCTCCCTCCTCAGCCTTTTCCTCGCATCTGCTCCTTCTGATTGTGTGCCGAGCGGAGCGTGACCCACTCACAAGTGAGACAGACAGTAATTGGCTGGATTGATTTTTAAAAGCTTATTTGTTTGACCTGCACCCTGTCCAGCGTGTTTTTATTAAGCTTGATAAATGCCACAGTGCGTTTCCACAAGCTCTCCAAACTTTTAAAACTTCTGAGATCCAAAAGCTGTTACTTTTGTTTCTAAATTCAACCTTTTCTCCACAAATAAGATTTTTGAATATTTTTCAGTTCCTGTCTGCTGAAGGGGATGATCAAATCAACCTCATGTCATGTATTCTGCTGCCTCTAATTCACTCGTCACTGCACATTTCAGGCACACTAAGTGAGATGTTTGCCAAACTCAGTGGATTTATTTGTCAAAAACGTGTTTTTAAATTTCTAGTTGATTTTTCCTCCAATAGAGAGATCAAGTGAACAAAATATTTTTACGCACGTGTCTTGATTTGGGATGGATGTTGACTATAGCCTGCAGTCAGTAACCACCCATTTAGCCAGTCATCGTCTGTATCGCACCCTTCAAAAGTGTGCTCTGCAGGCTTTCATGATGAGATTGCTCGCTGACGTCAGTCTAAGTAACTTCACCTGTACGTCTAGCTCAAACTCAAGTCTGGTATTTTAAATCTGTTTGACACAATGTGTGCATTACTTTTGATTTGTAAGCTGAGCCTTCTGGGAGTTTTCACAAAGTGCAGGGGTGTCACTATTTTACATCTGTAAGAGCAAGAAACAGGAAGATGCTGCAGCAGCTTAAAGGTACAGTGTGTAGGAAGAGGACATTAAGAAGCCAGGTTCAAGATTGGAACACTTCCCCTGCTCACCTCTCCTGTCAGTGGAGCAATGGTGGCCTTTGAGGACAAAAAGCCCCTGTAATGCATGGTTAGTATGATCATCCATTTGACCATTGAAAATGTCCATCAATACTTTTCTTTGTTTATAACCCCTCTTCTTCTTTGTCTGTCAACAAGTGCATTTGTATTAGTCACTCACATCCTTGAAAGGAGACCTGTTTTTTTGTTGATATAAAAGGCTCATTTAAAGATGATAAAAAGAGGATGATTTCAATAGTTGTATAATTATAACTACTTTAAACATACTCACAAATACAAGATCCTATTTAAACCAAGTCTCTTTTGCTAAATGCTACTAAATACGACACACAGTAATCTAGGGTGTGCCAAAGGGACAAAATATCGTAGGGTTCAAAACTATGAATTTTATAAATTGCTGAAAGGTACAAATTTAAAACGGCATATAATGAATTGTCAGCTTCAACATTTATGCATTAATGTTGACTGCCCTATTTTTTTATGTATTACTGAAAACTTTTTTACAGTTTTGTAACTGAGGAGACTGAAACAGAAAAGTTGTTGATCCTGATAACGGACAAATATCTTATTGTTTTACTGTCTAATGTTTTATTGTCCCCCCTTTTTTTTAATGCACTGACTGTAAAGGCACTTCTTAATTTCGCTGTGCTTGTCACAATGACAGTAAATTCTATTCTAATACTATTCTAAGTGCTAAAAAAAGATCTGTAAAATACCTGCAAAATATAGATGACCTGTGAAATTGAGGGATAATAGCTGTGAGGTTGTCTTTATGACTCAAACATTAAAAACACTCTCATTTAACCTTAAAAAAGAGTGTAAAATATAAATGCTGGTTTTGCCTGATAGAGAGAGCCAAGACTGTAACATCAGAAATGTTCTTGTTCTTGAAAATAAATACATTATGTATTCTGCCTTGGCGTCTCGGTCTGATAATGCTAAAATCATGAAGCAGTGCTCTCATTTTGTTCTCTCTATAACAGCAGAAGAAAACTTTCTATGAACAACAATATGGAGGTCACCGTTGCAGTTTTTGGTCTCTAAAAAAAGTGACCGCCGATGTCTTTTTTCTCTGACCTCTGTGACCTCTGTCTTCTATCGCAGTTAGCTCTCAATCGGTTTCTCTTTTGCGAATGTGTCGGCTGCAATACACAGAACTTTAATGAGTAAGTGATCCACTGTGAGAACTCTCAGATAACAAGGTCCAAGTACAGTAAAATTACAAAGAGGAATTAAAGAGTAACAACAAAAGGGCAAATAAAAGTGTTTTCATTCGCACTGTACTGCAGTTTCTTGATGTTCCACCTCAGTGCAGCTCAGCGTGAAGGACCTGCAAACTCAAAATGCAGCAGAGTTCTTTTTTAGCGCTGAGCAGGCTTGCAAAAAAAAAAAAAAAACAGATTCCCCGCTCTCGCAGACTCACATAGCCTTGAAACACAGAAACTAATCCATGATATTGATCAGTGTGTTTCATATTGGCCCCTGTAATCCATCAAGCTAACAGTGTGGGATAGGCCTAATTTATATCATCTGAAAGGTGTAATCAAAGATGAATGAACCCCAGCGTGATAGAAATGTGCACTGGGTCATAATTTTTAGCACTTTGAGTAATGGTGAGAGGATAAACACAACATTATGCTGCTGAGGAAAAGAGAAAGAACACAATATGATTTGTATGGTCCACAAAAATATCTATGCTTGGCACCATCATTACCCTAATGTAAACTTTTTTCATTACGTGTATAATGTTAAAAAATAAAAAGTGTAAAGGGTGAATAATAAAAACTTAGTTGTAATTATCTGTATAACTTTCTCTACAGTTTAATCTTTGCCAAACAAGGTAAAATCAGCTTTCTTATAGCAGAGTATTCAAATCTAATATTTTACTATATTCAAATTGACAGAGTTAAGTCCTATTAGTAATTTTAAAAAATGGTTGAAAGTTGTAATATTATAAGAAAATGTCATTATTGTATGTTAAATGTGTCATAATATTACCAAGCTGACTAGATTTCTCACCCAAGTCATCCTGATTCCCTTGACAGTGAAGTGAGAAAAAATATGAGTTATTTTTTAAATCAAATAGTAACTCAACAAAATGCTCTTTATTCTTCATCTCAGCAAAAACAACGAGCTGCTCTCCTCTTTAAAACAGCAAACAAGCTAAACATAAACTCAAACAAGGACTTTTACTCATAAGATTAAATTTTTTTTCTTGAAAAACTCAAACTTAGTTAAATAATTTGACAAATTAAGTCACATAAATATTTGGGTTTTTCTTCTCATATGATGTATTTTTATATAACGTTGTAAATTTATCTTTGTAAATCTGCAATTTCATTCACTTTCTACTTTCAACTTTATCATTTCATCATATTATCAGAACTTAATTCTTTAATTTTACAACTTTATCCTTGAAATCAGATGTGCTTTTTTCCCTTGAATGTTGTCTTGTCACTTAGTCAAAGTAAATATCTTTGTAGAGTAGAGTTAATAAATCATTAAAGATACAGTAAGTAATACAGATGATGATCTAGTTTGACTCCTAAGTTAAATAAAAGCATCAGTATTGAATTTAGAGTCTTTAATAACAAGTGAAAATCTTCTTATACATGGTATAAGCACCCAAAATATAAAATGCAAATTTAAATGCTGATTTCAGATTTAGATTTTTTGATATAAACTAACATGCACAGATTAATTTGTGTAAACAAGAGCAGCAGTGTTGTTCACCTGATGCAGACTTTTTAAATCACAGGTTACATAAGGTAAAAAGGTATGTAATGAGAGCATATCTGCAGTCATGCTTTTAAGAGGGAGTGTGTTCAAAAGCTCAAACTTTAACAACACCTCTGTCGTTACACAATATAGTCAACCTCATGCACATGTGACAGCGCGGGCTGACCTGATGGATGAAATGTGGTGGTGAGGAGCTTCAAGAGCAGCTGTGGAGATGCTGAGAACGAGAGAGAGAGAGAGAGAGAGAGAGAGAGAGAGAGAGAGAGAGAGAGGAGCGGTAAATATATGTGTAAATATATATAAATGTTTCCTTTTAAAAAGCCACTTAAGAAATCCAACCCTTTAAATAAGGCCAGGAATAATCTGTTTCCTTCGTTGCGGTAGATCCAGCAGGGATTTGCAGAAACATTCGGCAGTGACACAGATCTACATAATCATTTTAAGTTTCTACCCGCTCCTTCCAATGATTCTCCTGCTGTCACTTTAGATACCGCTAAAACTGATTTGGGCTCCCTAATCTCCCAGTATTTCTTAGACTTTAAAAATCTCTAATATCATAAGGAGATTATTTCATTTATAATTGATTGAGTGCATTTGCCGGAGTGCCACTTCAAAGTTGCTGAATTAAAGATGCATTTAAGAAGCCTGGTGCCGGGCGCTGTGAGTCGCAGGGTGGGGTGGGAGGTTGTGTAGGGGGAGAGTGGATTGAGGAGGGAGGGGTGGGAGTGTGTGTGCATGCGTTAGAGGAGGGGGCTTGTGTCTTCCATGGAGATTTCATGAAATGGGCTCTTGCAAAGTGCCTCACTCCGAGAAGGCATTGGAGGACATTGGCCAATGGCAGCAGCCCAGCAGTGGTGGGAATCTGTGTCTGTGTCGGAGAGACTCCCCAGCAAAGAAGCGGCTTTCATACAGAGAGATACTGCGTCAAGTCCCGTCCATCTGCCGACTTCCTCCAAGAGCACATCAAGAAGATGATTCCCAGGTGAAGTCTGCTATACCTGTTAGAGACTTTACCCAAATATCTTCCTTTCCCCTTAAGGAAGCCACTCTGGACTGACAAAAAGTGTAAGTTTTTCAAAGCTTTTCTTCTTTAAGCTCTATCTTTGGATTCCAGGCACACAGGACCCTCAAAATCTTTCAAATGAAACTCCCTCATTCCCCCAAACTGGCTCTCCCCTCTTTATTGGCTAACCAATACCTATAACTCCTCCTATTGGACCACTTTGAGGGTCTTCATTAGCACAGAAAGAGAGATAGAGAGTCTTTAAAGAAAATCCCCCCTGCCCCAAAGAAGAGGGAGAAGATATGAGCTCAGGCCTCTCGGGGTGCTTAGTTCTGACTAAATGAATCTTGACAGTGAGGAGGATGCTCTCCTCCTGCCCAGTATTGTACCAGCTGACTGTACGCTCCCCCATATCTCACTGCCTCTGATGCTCCTACTCTCCCTCCCCCCCAGACCACCACCACCACCACCACCATCATGGCCCAACCAGATCATAATCCTCTTAACGCTCTGCCTTATTAACCACTCATCTAAATGACATGAAAGCACCAGGCTGGAGAGGAGAGAAAAAAAGTAAATTATTTCCCCTGAAATAAAGTCCTGGCCTCTTTCACCACACACCACTTTGTATTTCACATTTGATTATGTGACAAGTGTGTCTAAGTCTGCTCAGGGCTCAAGAGAAATGTATTTCAGAGCCCATCAGGCACAGCAAATTTAAAAGAGGGTCCAATCTGTTCTGTGATTGCACACACACACACACACACACACACACACACACACACACACACACACACACACACACACACACACACACACACTTTCACAGAGCTAAATTGAATTCCAATTAAGATGATCCCATACATGATGAATAAATGGATGATCCATTTGGCTCTTTTTTTTTTTCAATAAAAGAAAGTGTGATCCCTCTTACCCCCAGAGGAATCCACTCATTAGGGTCCATCTTCAAATTGAGAACTCACTTTCTATTTAGCCACATTTGAACTCGCCCTTCATCATCACTCCATACAACCCGTACAACCTGGTGAACCCTTTCTTATACTCAAAACCAACACCTGTTAATTAATTCTAAGTGTTTGACCCGGTTCCTACTCCAAAGGTAATAGAGTTTTGTCTCTGAGAGCATTCACACACAGGACTAACCCAAGGAAAATGATATGAAGAGAGTTGGGCTGTTAGAGTTAGCATTTTATGGCAAATGTGTAATCAGCTCCTCTGCTGCTTCAATAAACTGGACTGGTTAAAACTGAGAGCCAGCTTGTTGCATTATGGAAGTGGTTGGAGACCAAAACAGCTACTAAAAGAGTAAATATTGTTTTTTATGTGTTAGCTTTATTTTTAAATTTTTTTTGGTCAGTGTCTTTTTTTATTCAGTTATACAAATTATAATTTACAATTTAACTAAAGTCCAACAGAACAGGACCGTAAATCTCATCCACCCCCCACAAACACTAGACTTACGTAATTCACAGAATGAAATACATAGTTCAAAATACAGAATTCACATAGCCAGATAACAACAGGGAAATATAATAATAATGATAATGACTGAGGACAAAAGCAGAGGTTTACAGAACTATACCGTCTGCCTCCATATCTTCAACAAACATTAAGAAAGGCTGCCAAATGTTATAAAATTTTCTAGTGGACCCACTGATCTGTATCTGATCTTCTCCAACTTGATATGGTACATGATTTCCCTAACCCGATGACTGTATGTTGGAGGTATTGGGTCTCTCCATTTCAGTAATATCAGTCTCTTAGCTAGCAGAGAGCAGAAAGCCACCATTATTCTTTCCCACATCTGAAGATGGGAGTCTATCTGGGTTTATTTGTTAGCCCTCATCAAATTGGTCCCATTTGATATGTGAGCGTGTTAACTCAATGATAATGTGGGAACACTGTGGTAGCAGGATGACTCAGTACAGGTTGTTCTGACCAGTCTGAAGAAAATTTTAAAGTATGGTGTGGTTTAACAACTGTCCACTTTTAAATTCCTTATATACTTCATGACTCTCCTAAGCCAGTGAGTGAACTGTATTATCATGTCTGTGGTAGAATCTCACACCATGATCATAATGACTCTTCTGGGGTCCAGGTCTGGATCACTGCGCTGCTCAGAGGTTTGCATTCAAAACCTGTTAAATTTACAGCCTGAAACCCTTAAAGGACGGGGATCTGTCTCTAAATCTTGATGTCTTCTTACACAACGACTCCTTTTGTACCACAGCTATGTTCTTGTGCATTTATATATCATGACTTAGTGTGAAAAGTACATCTTAAATGTATTTCAAGGTGTAGGCTTTCAAACCAAAAACAGAATCATGGAGAATAAACAGGTTTTTATATGAATCAAGATCAGACTGAAAAGTGCTCTTATATGCTCAGATTTTCTCTCCTTCTCCTGCTATCACTTTGGCACATTCAGCATGAAATACAACTCTAGTCTATGTTTGGACCAGCTGAGATAAAACGGAGCTAAAATTTGCCTTTCCTTTTAGTCGTCAAAGTGAACACCAGACCCCGGTTAAGTTGACTAAAGACACCATGTCCGAGGCTTTGTAAGGTCTGTTTGGTTTCCCCACATCTTGTTTTCTTGTGGCTCCTCAGCACTCTAAGTCCTTTTCAGGGAGTTTATGAGGGCCCCGCCTCGCAGAGAGAAAGCTTCGGTGGTGTGTTTGCTTTGGGAATAGTCTCCTGACAGGGTGCTAAAGGAGCATGTCAGAGCACGGGTCCCAAAGTGTTTGGGCAAAGAGAGCCGCTACCTCTTGCCACTGAGGAATCCGCCCTTCTTCGGTAATCTGTCACACCTCCTTCTAAATAAAATGGCTCAGAGATTTTCACACAAGTCTGTCAGGGTTAATATTTACCCCTGCCCTTTGGCCGAGGGGGGAAAGAGGCAGACAGGGGGAGAGAAAGTGGTGGAGTTTGGTTTTTTAAGGAAGGGAGCCATCTGGGTGAGACCTGACAAAGTGATAAAAGCCAGACGGACACATGCTGTCAGGGTTTTCTTCTTTGTTGCTGCTTATGACCACCTCAAAAAGTTTGATAACTTTGTAAAATGGTTGAAAGAGTATTTGAAGAATTCAGAAATGAAAACAATTAAACATAGTGATGCAACAGATCCTCATTGGACTGTGATCTGTTTGGGCCTTTATCGATTAAAACAGATCAAGGTACACAATAAGTCATAACTAGTTGCAAAAGTCTCTTATTGTTTCCTGGAGCACTTTCCTCTGCTTCAAATCAATACAAGCATAAGAATGATGCCTGTCTGGCTGTGTTGGCCCTGCCTCTGTATGCTCTGAGAATGTGAGTGAAGGAAGACGGAGCAAAAACTCAAGCGTTAATTAGATTTTAACGCAATACTGAATCACAAGAATACCATAACACTTGGACTTTCACATACAAACCCTGTTAGTGAGAGGCACTGTGTTCTATCGCACTTTGTTGTAAGTAGCATGAATTATGAGTGAAATGCTTCTTACTTTTTAGTTTAATGAGAAGACTGAAACAACTCTCTACTTTATCCAGACCCAACAAGCTAAGGTCTCAGAGCTTCCAGCGTAAAGCAAGGGTAAACTTTGGAGATGCACAATAATAGATTTTATAATATGCTGGTACTAATTTTTTCATTTACACTTTCTTTTTTTCTTTAGTTTTCTTTAAGCTTGTTGCTACCTACCACTGAATGGAATAACGACAAAGAAGCAGCAGCCGCTAGCTAGCTAGCTGTAACAGTCCTCAAAAGGTGGCCACTTATGCTGCGTTCCAGTTACCTCGCAAGATGGACGCCTTTTGTTAGCCGTTGTTAGCGCATGTTTACAATTGTCAGTTGTCGTTTGCCGTTGTTCCGCATGTATTTCATTCCAAAACAAAAGTATGTCTTCAGATACAGGAAATAAAGCAACATAGATGCAAGGCAGGAAGTTAAGCATGAAAGCATCATAATCATTTTGTGAAGCAATCTTTGCACCAAAGAAGTTCCCATCACAGGGCTGTTAACACCAAAAATTAATGGTGACATGTCAGAAAAGTTTAAGAAGTAGCCTGCCACTCCACCCTTGTCTTCCATCCATCCATCCATTTTCTACCGCTTATTCCCGTTCCCGAGGTCGCAGGGGCTGGAGCCTATCCCAGCATCTTAAGGCGAAGGCAGGGGACACCCTGGACAAGTCGCCAGTTCATCGCAGGGCTGACATACAGAGACAAACAACCATTCACACTCACACCTACGGGCAATTTGAAAGTGGCCAGTTAACCTAACCCCACTTAGGCATGTTATTAAAATGTGGGAGGAAACCAGAGTAACATGCAAACTCCACATAGAAACACCCTGAGCCAGATTCGAACTAAAGACCTTCTTGCTGTGAGGTGACAGTGCGAACCACTACACCACTGTGCCTCCCACCCTTGTCTTGTCTTGTCTTAACTAAATTTCACTATCATTGTGTTTTTCCAAATGATCCATCATGATTGTGATAATATCATTATTGGGATTTTTGGGCCACATTTATTGTTAGGTGAAAATATACCATGACAGCACCACTTAAAGTTTTAACTTTTTAAGTCTCCACTGGTGTCACCAATAAGCTGTGATGTGCAGATACTGGCAGCTATCTCGACAGCTGAGCAACTCAGGTCTATGGCCCAAACTGTCATCTTTCACCGTTGGTTAACATTATTCTTCTCAATAGATGTTTCATTTACGTGAGCATAAAATTCCCTTATAACAGGTCCACTTTTCTGTACGATCTCTGTGTGTCTCTTTCCTGTGTGAATCTGACGAAGCCCATCAAGCATACAGGGAGTTTGGGGAGTGTCTGCAGAAGAGAGGAGGAGGAGGAAGGAGCAAGCCGGGCGGAGGGGAGGAGGAGAGGGATTTAGCGTGGCCTGTCGGAGGGCTAATTCCTGTGCTGGCGTTGGAGCTCCTCATAGCTCAGATATTCAGATTTGGGCTGGGCTGCAATGTGGGCTTGGAGATACTCTGCAACCGGCTCCACCCCCCGCTCTATTTAGGGCCTGCAAGGAGCCTCGGGATGGCGTTAAAAAAGGAGATTAAGTTTCCTCCGGAGAGCAAAGCTCCTTAAGGGGGTATCTGTGTGCTTCTCAGCCGCCTGGTCAGTGAGGGATGCGTGAGGGGGGCCTCGCCATGAACTCCGCTGAGACAGTGGGGGGTGGGGGACACATAAGAGGCGGGGGTGAGGGTGGCAGAGAAGCTGACCTGACTCCTACCCCATGACTGGCATGGCTCTGACCCTTTTTATAGGCTCAAGCACTGATAGCAAACTGATTCAGTGCTTCGGGGGCTGGCAGAAAGCAAACACGGTGATGGATGGTATCACCTGAGAGGATTTCACTTTTGTTTGTCCGTTACACTTCCACATAATGTCATTTCAGAGTATGTCCCCGGGGTTTACTAAGCATGACCGTGCATATGTGCTTTGGAGTGTGTGGTGGAGATACAGTGTGCCTGTATACAAGGAAAGCCTCATTCACAGAGCTTAATACTGGGCACCAGATCTAATGGATGGCTGCTTAACACATGGAAGTGGAAGGAAGTGATGCTCAACCACACGTCTTTTTCTCTGTGATTTTCTAAATATACTGTAACAACATACAAACACAGACCATGAGAAATAAATATCAACACACGAACTGGAGAAACAGACATTTTGTTGGATCTGACTCCTGAAAAAGCAGTCCAAAAAGTGCCATTCAAGGCGCCAAAGCATCTATTAAACTTTCGATTTCAGATCATCACCTGACCATTCAAAAGGCGGACTTATAAGAGCAAATCCCAGCCCATGAAGTGTATGAGTTAAAATCTACCCTTCAAAAGGCTTTGATACGTTTCTTTGATTCAAGAAGAGCTGCAGCGTTAAGAGCAGAGCAGAGAAAAAAAAAACCCTTACACATTCCTTTATTTGATTAGCAATACTGATGACAGGGTTGAATGAGAAGCAGAAAAAACCTAATGACTTCTTCAGCTTTGTGGCAGGGCTGGAAAAGCCTTATCTGCTCAATTCAGCAGCAGTCTCTCCTGGGAAGCGAGGATCACTGTGCTGAGGGACTGTCAGGTCCTGCCAATAGCCGTAATGGGCCCTAATTCCACATTAATGCAGTCTAAATGAAGTGTCACGGGAAGATTGATCTGTTGAGGGCGTTGCCGTGATGAAGGTTGTTATACTGAGTGGGCACCTCACCGGACACCTGGTTACTCTCTGCAACACCCCCAGGGGCCTCCATGTGGAGCCGGCAGACTGACCTGTCACACTCTGCATGCATAGATCTGAGCGCACATTCAAACAGTCTTAAACATGCTTAAAGACTCTGGCTGAGTCCAAATGTGAGGCTAATTTTCAGTGATTTCTGTGAATAAATGCCAGCAGGTGGAGGGATGGAGAGGCTCTGTCTCTAATGTTTTGAAGATTGCCTCATATTTGCTTGGCTCCTTTTGATGAAGGTACATTTCTTGTCGTGTTCTGTTGTCTGACAGGTGCATAGGCCGGATAATGCTGCCAGCTGGAGACTTTGCGGGGGGCTTAAACACAACCAGTCCTCCTACTGTACATATCTAAAACCCCATTTTACTCCTTTCCATTAGTAATTCTTGTCCACAGAAATGGATTTTTACTCACTGTCAAGTTTAAACTGCGACTTTTCCTGTATGGAGAGTATTAGGCTAATCACGCGGTAATTCTGATTTCTGTATGCTTGTCAAAAACATACAGAAAGATGGGCAGCCACTTTTCACACTTTTTATTTTATGCTCTGCGTCGAAGGATCAATCCAGGTCAAATGTGCAGATTTTGTTATTGGTTCACAATAACTGCTTTTCATATGTACTAATGTGTGCATAATATAGTCAAAGTCAACTCTATTGTCAAATATGCTATACATGTTAAACACACCGCACAGATGAAATTTCAGTCCTCTCAGACCCACGGGGCATAAGAATAAACTATAAGAATAAACCTATAAAAGTTTAAATATGAGAATAAACAATTGAGCTAAACAAAAGACTATCTTAAATACTTTATATATTAAATTGTATGTGATTATTAAATGTTTGTTTTCAAGCTGTTGTCATTAATTTCATGATTTTTACCCACATGACTTTTCATACACACAAAATACTCAAACTGCGAGTACAATATGAAATGTGCAAACTTCTGACCACCGTATTTGCACAACATGTTTACGTGCACACAAGTGTATTCTTATCACACATGGCAAGAGACAACATACTCAACCACTTCACCAAAAAAAATTGCACCCTTTACTGGACTTCAGGGGCTCTGCACAAACTTCGAACTGATTTAGTGATTAAAATTATAACCCAAAAGGCTTCCTCCAAGTCCTGACTGATGCTTAAATCACAGTCATGCAATCGAACATTCATCCGTAAAGTAAAGCTCATAGTGAAGGACACGCTCCAGAACATCGTCCATGATATTTCATGTACTTATGGTTGCAGAGGAGGGTTGCAATCAGTGCGTTAGCTGTAAAGTAACTGTGTATGTCTGCAATCACACACGAGCAAACATGATGCACGCTCTCCGTGTGTACCTCCGACATGAGGAGCAGCAGGATTCTGGATGAGCCTCCCAGGTGACCCAGAAGATGGCAGCAAGTGTGTCAGAGTCACTTTGATTAACTCTAATACCAGGGCTTTTGGCACATGTGGTCAGGTTAATGAAACTCAGTGAGAAGGCACTTTCTCCTGGTTCCCTCCCTGCCTGGAAGCTGTGGGTGATGGGATGAGGTTCAGTGAGTCGCTCCCTCTCTCCCTCATCGGCCCCCCTCTCCACCGACAAGACGGTCTGATACCTTCTTTAGGAAATGAAGCTACTGAGATATATTACTCTATTACCTCTATGTCCTTTTTCCTTTCATATTCTGTTGACTTTTTCCCTGTTAATTAACACTCTTCTTAGGATGTAAAAAGTCAAGTTTTATGAGTCGATGGAAAAGTACAAAAATAAAGCTTCAATGATATTCTTTCAAAAGGAAACATCAAATCTTTGGGGGGGTTTGCCATCAAAGTGATCTATTGGTTTTCAATTTTATCTTAAGAAATTATGTGAAAGGACTTTTTTTTATCATTTGGGTGTATTTCTGAATGGGTCAGATACCAGAAACATCCAGGAGAAAAAATCCACCCATTGAAAAGCTTTCCCTGAACACAAAACTTTCTGTTATGGTTTATCAAATGTTTGCCAAGGTTATCATGACACAGGCTCTTCAAACCCTCAAAGTGTTCCTCCTTGCTCTCTTTCTTCGCTGACACAGAAGTAGGGCACACCGGAGAATAAGCACCACAATTGGGAGGCACCCTGTCGCTTTAAGAGGGGTACCCATCTAATCTCTCCCGATCCACTCAGGCCCTGGATTTATAAATTTCCTGCAATCTCGATTCTTAAAGCTGTCTTGATTTTGTGAGTGTGTGTGTCTGCTTGTGAGAGAGGAAGTGTAGGACTGGCAAGAGGTACTATTGGGGGGGTTTGGTTTGTTTGTGCTGTCCTTTAGAAAAAGAGCTTACGGGTTCAGCAGTAGAAACGCTGGGAGCTAATGTGAAGATTTAGGACTTTCTCCGAGGCTTGGCCTCGTCTAAGCTCTGTTTGCTTGAGCCGTTTGTGGGGTCCTGCTCACACTAAACCCAGATTAATATTCCCCCCATATCCAACCAGCCCAGACACCGTCTCCCGGCCTCACTGTCCTCCACCCCCCTCTCTCTTTTCCCTGCCTTTTCTGGCCGTGATCGTCTCCCTTCCCTAATCCAAGTCCGCTGCCTCTCATCTTGCTCTTTATCTCGTCTAAGTAAGCACCTTTCTCATGGCTTCTTTCCATAAGGAGGAAGCAGCAGGAGGAGCATAAATATGTTTTCCTCAGGACCCCCTCATTGCTCACTGACCTCTGTAAGGTGTTATTATCAGAGTGACTGCTAAACCCTCAGATTGGTTTTAGCCAGGTTCACCAGGGGAGAGGACGGCTGGCTTTGATGCCTCTGTATTGGTTTACATACAACTAAATAGACACAGAAAGTACGGCAATTATTGTATTAGGCAAATATTTCAGCCATTAAAATCCTAAAATACTCTCTTCATCTTAATATATTTAAACATATTATTATTTCCTGTTGATATGTAGTGAAAGCAGCAGAATTAAAGTCACTACAAAGACACATTTTTCAATATATTGTCCTATAACACCAGTGAGAAAACTTCAGCTTCCTGCCACATTTCTCTGCTGCTGCACTCCTAAACTCTCACGAGGTTGTCACACTGTGCCTCTTCTTCTTCTTCCCCCTTTTTTTTTGTGTTTTTCCTCCTTTTCTTGTTCCTTTTCTTCCTTTTGGATCAAGGCTGAGAGAAGAATAACAAATGCATTTTGAGCCAAGAGAAAAGGGGATGAATTTGGCGTGCTAAACAGGCAGGCTAAACCCATTACCTAAGTGTTCTTTATCTTCCCATATGCTTTTGTTGTTTAATCAGCTTTGTATCTCTCCAAATCCGGGATTGAGATAACAAACAAATGGATGAGCTCAACATGCAGAGGAGGAAAGCCTTTTTGCTGGCACCTTTAATGCCAAAAAGACTATCCTGATGCTGCAAAGTGGTCAGGGGAAGGAGCGCAAATGGGTCCGATTCTTTGGGATTTTTTAGACCAGGTCAAGCCTCCACTTTTCCCTAAAATAACCTCATATACCTCCTCTCTGTTGTACGGGAATGGACTGAGAGAGGGGGGAAGGGGGTAAAGCTGGAGCCCACAGATTTGCAATCTTCAGCCATGATTTTTCTCTCTGCTTCCTCTACATAAGAAAAGACGGATTCTAGATTATCTCTGGCACTCAAAGCCAGGAAGAGTTGAAGAGTTGCTGAATGCAGTAAGGACTTTACAGCCAATGCAGATGTACAATAGTCAAAATCCTTATCAGATTTACTCTGTGGCTTTGAAACGTAAGGGTTGTGTCTGTTGCTGTTTGCACTGGAGGTTCAGCTGCAAAGACCTTAAAGTAAAGTTATTCTTAAAAAAACAGTGGGTTTGTTAAGGACTAATGGGTAAAACAAATGGCCCCAAAACACCTAAAAGTGTGTCACTATGTCTCCTAAATGTTTGTCAGTCATTTGCCTTTGCTATAATGCCTTACATCATTTGAGTGGAGTGGTGGTAAAGTACAGGGAGTAAATTTAGATGATGTCTCTGCTCTGTAAAACTTTTAGCATACAATTTTTTTCAATTTTGTTTAATTTGTCTTTTTCAAGTAAACAACACACTCAATAATGTGAAGATGGATTCAGAAGAACTTAGACAAGGTGCGCTGTATCATTATTCTAAGTGTAAATAGTTTTACATAAAGTCGAAGTGGAGCAACGTAAGTGTTTGTCTGCGACATGTTTCAGGGAATCTACCCAATTAGAGTCTCAATTTTGAGATTTGGTTTTGCATCATCCTAAGGAAAATATCTAGATGCTCTTGTCTGTTTGATATTTGGTGCTGGGATGGTGCTGCATGGTACCTTTTTTAGCCATCCATGCTGTAATCAGTTCAAGATTAGACTATTTCAATGCACTTTATGTTGGCATCTCCCAATCACCTCTTAGTCGCCTTCAACTTGTCCAAAATGCTTTTGCCCGTCTTTTAACTAACACTAACATACGTGAGCACATCACTCCTGTCCTTAGCTTCCTTTATTGGCTTCCCGTCTGTTTTAGGGTTGATTTCAAACTTTTAATGTTTGTTTTTAAAGCTCTTAACGGCCTTGCCCCCATCTATTTAACTGAGCTTTTAACCGTTCAGGAGCTGGGTAGAGCTCTGAGGTCATCAAATCTACTTCTACTGGAGGTGCCCAGGTCAAAACACAAGTACTGGGGTGACCGAGCCTTTTAAGTTGCTGGTCCCAGGCTCTGGAAGAAGCTCCCCATCAAAATGAGACTTATTTCCAACCTGGGCCTTTTCATATCCGATTGAAAACGTACTTATTTATGCTGGCTTTTAATACCCAGTAGCGTGGTGGCACTTTATTTTATTGCCATCGTCATTTTATTGTTTTTATTTACTCATTTTTATTTTCTATGTATTGTAAAGCACTTTGGTTCACCGAAAGGGTTGTTGTAAGAACATTTACATTTTTGAGGAGATTTTTCCTCACGAACAGCTACCTTTCTGATTGAAAACTCTACATGGGCAATGATCTATTCCAACCTGGTGTTTGCACGTTAGAGATGTCAATGATATCCTTAAGAGCATAACATTATAGCTCTGCGACTCATGGTGTGGCCAACCTGACATTCTAGAAAAGATAGAGGTCCAGTGTTCTTGTAGCTTTTGTCATCATCTTATTCTAATGAAAACAAATCTCCAGAAGGACCCTCAGACTGGTTCTTCTGCACCATGTTACTTCAAAGTATTTTTGTGCAAGTGATTAAAGATAAGCATTCAGATATTATTCTTTATCTTGGACTAACAACATAAATAAACAGCAACACAACGGGTTACCAGGCAGGAAACAAAACATGCCAAAGGTTTCTCATTTACAGAATTACACAATAATCGTCCACATACAATATTAAATAAATGAAAAAGATATCATCAGTTCCAACCTGTCAACATTTTGAGGAATCAGAGGCTCCCCTGAGTGACACCTGAACTCATCTTAACTAGACAAACAGCAAACATGCACAGAAACAATTGTGTTCAGACCAAAGAAAGTGATGATCAGAGTGGATGCTGGCGACCTCAATGTGCATCTCACAGTTGAATTCCCTCAGGGGTAGAGGGGCTCATCACCCCTTCTTGTTCCCCCCCATCAGCTAAACACAGACACGCACACCCCCTGTAATACATACCCTGACACACTCATACACACAGTCTGGGAATGCTGGGGAAAATAGCCCTCATTTATTATTGCCACACTCCCTCGTCTCGTCCCTTCGGTTCAGCGGGTGCGCCGCCAAAGCACGTCTTCTCCCGCCAATGTCACACAATTACCTCTTAACTGCTCAAACAAATAGAGCGACCCAGAGAGTGACATCAAATCAAAACTGTCACAGGTGATTGAGTCTAGTCATCAAGGCGGCCCGCTCGCTACCTGTCAGGAGAGTGAGGGAATGAAAGGAAGAGGGAGAGAAGAGGGAGAATATGATAGCAGCTTTATAATAGACTCCTAATAATGTATAAACACCCCCGCTCTATCTTTTTTTCCTCCGCTCATATTAAAGTTGGGCTCTGAGTGCACGGTGCCCTCCTTTTTCAGCCGCTCTGTTCCCTCTCGGGACTCAGGAAGGAGAGAAATGGCTGTGAATGGAGTAATGATAGGGAAAATGATAGAGAGGAGATTGAAATTTCCATCCTCTCTGAACCATGCCAGCTCTGCTCCTGGAAAGACATTGGATGCTAATGGGGTTAGATCACATGCATGAGAGTTTGAGGCCTGAGTGATGTTAGTTGTTGGTACTCCAGACACAAACAGACAAACAAAAAAAAAAATCTTGAGGAAGAAAACTTTGTTGGGTCTCCAGATCTCAGTTTCAGTTTCACTTTGCCAAGAGAATCACGGCTAGATCCGGACATCACCAGATAGCTCTCATTTAGCTGAGAAACAGAGGAGGAGGAGGAACGATGATTTGTGTATCAGTGGGGACAAAAAAACAGAGAAATCAAATACACGGGCAAAGGGTTGAGCAAGAGCAAGCCGAGGGGACATTAGGGACATGATGATGTTGTCAGTGTCTGATGTAAATTGGAGAATGACACAGTCAACAGACACGGCTGGCTGCTCGCCGCAGCAACACGCCAGGGCCGTGACACTGACAAATGGAATATTTCAAAGGACTTAATCAGAGGAAATGGGGTTTGGTCTGCAGGTGACACAAGTCCCGCTCCAGTGCTCACAAAAAGAAAACTGATTGCCTGCCTTGAAACCCCCACCATCTCTTTACTTCTGTGTTGGTCCGTCTACTTCTCTGTCTCCCGACTATCTCTGCTCTCCTGTCCTCAATTTACTCTGTCAATCCTGTTCAAGAGGAGGGCTAACTGTGAGCGTGTCACACAATTAGATCCAATCAGAGATAGCCCAATGAAAGGTGGGCCAGTAAAGCCCACCGTTCACTCGGCTGTTTGGTTCAGTTTGGTTTGTCTTGTTAACTTTTGGCTACCCAGTGTGTATTTTTTGTGTTGAAATTAGTTATTTTTAAAGGTCTATGGCTACCATGGAAGAGTGGAAGAGTGGAAGTATTTTTCACCAACTATCTGTGGATGTTGAGAAAAACGAATATGTACTCCAACTCATTTATCCCCTCAGCGATCAGATTGCTAAATGCTGAGAAGTAGCGGATTGGTGGCCTGTGTTGGATTTTGGGTTGTTGAAATTGAGGTCTCAGGATTGTTTTCGTTCTTATTTTACTCTTTGTATCGCATTATTTCTTATTGCATTTCAGTCATTTCACAGTTGAACGTTTTGCACATTTTTATTATCTAGTTATTTATTTATTGCTGATTTGTGGTGCTCACAGGGAATGTTTGGGTTGTATGCTGCTGTGAATGTCTGGTATTTGTCTGTTCTTTGATCATTTAACAATGAGGTGGGTTACTGTGAAGTGAATTGCCCTTTGGGGATTAATAAAGTTGTCTGAATCTGAATCTGAATCTGAATCTTGCTCTTCACACAAATATCAGGCTGAAACATTTGCTGCTCACATGTGAACAATTCATCACGAATCTCAAGAATCGATGGGCTGAATTTTACCACATTGCATCCTACAGTTGTTGAGATATTTCACTCCAACCTATGAGGTTGTTGGGTCAAGAAATCAGCAAAGTCCTCAGGGATACATCATATGGGGACAATAAATGTTCGGCACATTTTCTGCAATTACGGCAAGTGTATGTCCTTAGTATTTTATCCACTAAGTGAATAATTAGGCTATTTGATTGCTAGTTGACAAGCAAGGGGTTACCAAAAAATGTTGGTGGTGGACGGCTCCTCTCACCTCGCTGCAGGACAAAAAGATTAAGAAGATCTTTTGTACCCACAACCATCAAACTGTTTAATTCTTCTGCAAATAGTAGATGACATGACACATGAGATTAGAGACAAATGAATTCCCTTTTGTCGGATCAATAAAGTTCTTCTTATTGTATCTTATTCTCTTGGGACCATGACCATCTCAATTTAAAACAATGATCAATACAGAGGTTGGCAACTGTTTTTACACCCTTTGGGGACCATGGTGTCTATAAAATCTCACTGTGATTTTGTAAGTAATATCACAACGCTACTAGTATGAATTATTTGAAATCCCTGAAGGATCTTATGATAATGTACTCACCCCGGCAGTTGCCCCTGTGGCCCTTCAAAATTTCCCAGAGGGAATTTTCGAGTTATTATTATTATGTAGATTGTGAGTGAATGCGTTAATACTAAAAAAACATTCACAAAAACATCAAGTTATTCTGGTCATTTAATGCCCCACAGGTTACCACATACAGGCAGATCAACAGTGATATCTGTGCTTATAACTCCTAAGAGATGGGGCACCCTAGTCAACAAAGGGGAAGGACATCGAGAGGACAAGGAACAACGAAAGAAAGTAATTTCAACTTTCTACACACTCCCTCTCTGCCTAATTGAGAAGAGATCAGAGTTTGTTCTGGTAATTTATGGTTTAAGACAACATGCCCACAAAACTCCCCCGTTAGTTATTTGGCTGTTTCAAAACTGCCACCTGCATGTAAAAAAAAAAACAGGAAACAGAGATCTATCTTTGTAAACTTTTGTTTCCTGGACTGGGCTTGGCACTGCCACCACACGATGCCTACTTCTATGAGGTTGGTGATTTGGTGCCTGAAGTCCAGTAGCCCCATGCCGGGTATGAATCATGGCAAGGGGCCGCTGCCCTGTCACAGCAGCTACAGATCAATGATAATTACCACCTTGACATGAGTACGCTTATTACTGAACAGGATCAGGGACAGGGGCCCGAGCTGTGGTGGCCGTAGGGCCCGATCGATACTCCAGGAATAATGGCTCTCTGGGGCCCTAGATTGGACTTTGCCACTAAACAAGCCATTACAGCCGCACGCATGACAGCTTAGGTCTAGATATGCGTCCTAACTCTCCTTCTCCTGGAGGCTTCTCTCCTAGAGCCCGCCTCACTATGGCTCCCACGGGCCTCTGTACTCAATCTTGTCATGGACTGTTATGGGCAGGCGAGACACATGCCTCTGGCTTTGAGACGTGTTAACCAGAAGTGAGTGATTAGGGGAAGCATGCTGCTACAACACGATGTGTTCCTCTGCAGCACCAAAGTGAAAGGGGCCTAGCAATGTGACCTGATGATTGCCACTGAGTATAGAGATCAAACACAGCTGCACCGGCGTGTACACACGAACATACCCGTACACACGCATACACAAACAAAATTCACACAAAAGCAAGCACATCAGCGCGTATAAGCAATGCTGATCCGTCTATGGCAGCCCTCATCTTCTTTTCTCTTTGATTTTTACCATTTCCCTCCTCCAGATCCCTTGTTTTTTTCCCTCTCCTTTTTTAATCCGGTCATACCTGTAATCGGGCTCTGCGACAGGAAACTTCAGAGAATCAATTAGTCCTCGCCTCATCCGGGAGCCAAGACGATTCCTCTCGACTTGAGCCGCAAACTCCTTCTATCAGGAGTCATTCTGCCTGCCTAACACCCAGACTCCTCTCTCCTGAGCCCGGATAGGTTTGACTCTAAGCCTCTAAAACGTTGACAACCCAAAGCGCCTTTCTCTCTGCAAGCCCTAACCGCCTGCCTCACCCCGGCCCCTTCCCTTCTTTTTAACCGTCGCTGCTGCTAAATAAAGAATGACTTGTTTTTCCTCTGTTGCACACAGCGATAATGATGCAGCGTCGTCGTGCTTCAGCCAAAATTAAATAAACAGTTTCCTCTAAAAGAATACAAAACTACATCTTTCTCTCCAGCTTGATAAAAGTGGATGTGATAGGGGAAAGCCGGCGACTCTTGGCCCTTCTTTTGTCCCGAGGAATTTAGCCACTGAAGAGGCAGCATTGTGGATGCTGTTGTTTTTAAATGCTGTCACATGGCACAAAAGGAAACGCAAACCTGGGGCTCCTCTGCTGGCTGCAGCAGGCCCTCGAGTGGAGCCTGGAACAAACAGAACATTGAGGGGTCAGATTTAATCCCCCCGCCCCTGCCTTTTGTATTCAGATTAAAGACTAAGGAGGATTTGCAGGAGCCTGGAGTCTCTTGTTAAAAGACGGTGTTCTCCACTTAACCTGCAATTTACCTGTCACTTAAGCCCACTGCAGCGATCATCCACACCTCTGGTAGCGAAAAGGGCTGTTATTATTCTGTTTTTTTTTTCTTTTCACAACTCTGAAGAGAGGCTTTATGTTCACTTCAGAATAATGAATTCCCTGACAGATGCTGATTAAAGCAGCAGCAGCTTGTGAAAGATACTTAACACTCAGGAATAAACAGGTGTGATTTCTACGAGTGTACACACACACACACGCGCACACATACAAGTCTTCATCTAATAACCCAGAAATCACTCCTTGACCAGTCGGGCTGTTCTGATGAGGTTGAGTTTGGTGTGTATTCTCCAGGGTGCTGTAAAAAAAGATGCCTGCAGGACACGGAGGCGAAACACATTGTGAAGCTTCTCGACTTGATTTGTATTGCCAGCCCTCCTCATCTACTCTACTGAAAAATCCTGACACAGAAATCTGACCTTTTTTCTTCCCCTCTATCACCCTCTCACTCTTTCACCAAGTATGATTCATCTCCCACAAACTAAGACCAGGAAACGAATGAAACTCCCGCCATCATTCGGGCCGACCTCATCCATTTCATCCTCTCCTGTGGCTTGTCCTACCCTCCGCTGGACGGCCATAACGCCGCCTCTAAATCTTCCTCCTGAACAGAACTCACTGGGTCCTCGGCAGCAGTAAAGTGGACCATTCGTTTTCACAGCACAGCCAAAAGGAGTAATGGGAGTGATGTTGAGACATTATCAGTCACTCACTGACTGCCAAAGCTCTATGAGCTGCTCCTGCCCTCTTTTTTTTCCTTTAAAGCATGTGCAGATGCCCACCAAACAACCGCACAGCTCCTGATGAAGCTTTACACGAGTCTTTGATACGTCCCTTAATCTCCACTAAACTATCCCACTGGTTTTAACACCCTTACGCATTAGCCTATGTCTTATAACTTAAGAGTTTATCGTTTTGTGCTAAATTTAGACGTTCTCTCTTAAGACTCAAGGCAGCTTGGAGACTTCGGTGCATACAGCGTGCAAAATTATAAAACCTTCAGAAACATAACAATGGGGGGAAAGTGTTCATTGTTTCAGGAATCTGCACCTTCTGCAGTTGACAGATTAAAACAGTTTCTTGAGGGACGAGCATCTGGATGGAGATTTCTTTCCAATCAGATGAGAGTGAAACTCTCTCGAAGTGAAGGCCAAGACTGAATACAAAAGTCCCTCATCTGCTGAAGCCCTCTTCTTCTTCTTCTTCTTCTTCTTCATCTTCTTCTTTTTTTTGTGTTAAAGAGGATCACTGCCTGGTGTGCCTTATTTTTAGAAACATTTCCCTTCCTCTTTCTTCTGTTTATACATCCCCCTTTTTTTCCAAGGCCTGTTTTTCTCTTGCCCGAGAGAGTTGTCACCTTATTCTGGAGGAACTCACCTGTCCGCCTGCATATCAAACCCATCCCCGGTGGGCTTCTGTGTTAAATTCCAACTTAAAACCCATTACTGAGCTATCAGCCCACTCATAATGCTGTCTAACGACCTCATTTCCCTAAGTGTCAGCCCTGTCAGTCACCAGAGGGGCCTGTCAGCTCGGCTGCCCGTGTCCGACGGTCCCGACTGCTCAGAGGCATCACTGCCACCGCCGCCGCCGCCGCCGCCACGTTCACCTCGTCCTCGTCAGAAACAGGATAGGATGCTCAATCTCTAAAAATATGTCAAGGCAAAGTGAGTGGGGACACAGGGGGTAAGAGACTTTGGAATGAAAGTGGTGGGTATTTCATTTACCATATCCACTCTATTAGTCAGAGCGGCACAGTCAATCAGGGCCCCATTTTGATTCAGGGGGAGTCAGGGGAGAGAAGTGGGACACGGCAAAATGGCTGACGGTCACGGCGTGGCTATTCCAGCTCAGCTGAAATCTGTTTGAGAAGTTGATGTATGTAAAAATGGATTAATATAAACACACGGAGCCAAAACGTCACAGCCTGTCCTTGTTAACCAAAGACGGTGCAATCACTGAGCATGTGTGTGTGTGTGTGTGGGGTGGGGTTGTGATGAGAGGGGGCAAGGTGAGCTGAGGAGGGTCAAATCTGATCGTGTGTGTGCTCATGATTGTGTGTCTGATCACTGTCTCGTCCCCAGGTCTCCAAGCGTACCTTCCTTTGAAATGATTTGGTAAATATGGAAAGGGGCCCTTAGGCCACAGAGGCCCCGGCCCCTCTTTAGGAGTGGATAATTGACTCCTTCCCCTCCTTGATAATTCATCGCTTGCATATGCCAGCTAATACATCAGCTGAAAAATGCCCTGGCCTTCATATCCCTTGACACACACACACACACGCACACACACACACACACACACATACACACACACACGAGCACCCAGAGGAATGAGCGACTGCGGAGAGACTGAGCATAAAAAATGGGGATGACAAATGGGAGCACTTCTAGATCTATGAATGAATTATGTCTTCTAAATACCTTGAGCAGAGGCAACTGTCAGCTGGCGTCTATACTAATCTGGGACAAAATATGACCAGCTCGGCATTAAAAAGGAGGGAGCAGGGCTGCTAGAGAATGAGGCAAGAAATGAACCAGCAATCAGGCTATTAAAATGTGGTGTCTGATTCAGCTTTGGTGGACATATGCACATTTATCATGAGATGGAAATATCCTCCCCCATTGTCACTTTAAAGCAGCCCCTTCTATTGAAATAGATTAGGATTATTCCAACAGGACAGAGATATCATTTGTTTTACAATAGCCGAGTCAGCACTCACAACAGTCATTAGGAATTAGATCAAGTTGGCTGCTGTTTAGAGGGATACTTTGCAAACTGAGATGAGGAATAAAATTAATGGTGTTTCATTGCAGGAGGTGGGATATTAACCTGCTGCTGCGCCCCACAACAGAGGCGGGACGGCAAGACAAATGGCTTATACAAGATTCAGGGACAAACCGTTTACAAGCCTGTGTACAGGAAGTTCAGCAGGCATGAAACACACGGGGTCACTCACCTGCTGATGATGATATACACAGAAGAGGTCAAAGACACTGCAACCTTGCTATTGTTCTATCTCGTGGTTGTCTGGGAATGTAGCGTGTACCTCTGGGAAATGTATTTTTTCAGGCGGTGGCTCAGAGACGTCCTGTCCTGGCTGAGGTTCAGGGCCACAGGAGGATCACCGCATCCCTGTGCAACACGCCGAGCTGCAGGCAGGAGGAGGCCCAAGGACGGCTGGAGTATAGCTGAGCACAGATAGAGGCCGTGATGCATTTAAAGTCTCAACACTTTATAAAGGAAAAGCATAAAATGAGACTGACAAGTCATTCAGTCAAGAATTAAGAACAAAAGTTACACAACCTCTAAACATTTAGCCTGTAAACATTAACTTGACGATACAACAGTTGGAAAAAAGCAATTAAAACTAGATCAATTGAGCAGCCTACAAGAAATGGTGAACAATTTAGCACTGATGAGTACATGTTTTCTCTATTTTTCTTTTTTTCTGGAATAATTTGATTGTTTCACTCTAATTTCTCCTCATATCTTGTCCTAGATATTTTAAAATCTGACCCCGAAATACTTTATTTCATTTTTTCTGATCTGGTTTCCCCTCAGATTAATTAAGTAAACATAAAACTGCTTTACATCCCCCATCCTTATTGAAAAATCTGCAATCTGAAAAAAAAAAAGATGTTCAATGTTTTACAGCTTAATCTTTTCGTGAGAAGCCTATTAGATTTTAAAAAGAGGTTTCACACTCTCTGCACACTTAGTGTTAAAGTAATATTATGTGTAAACATCAATTTCAAATTTAAAGGATATGAAGGGAACTTTCAATCTTAATTTTAACGTTCTTGTTCAGAAATAACCTCAACCAAGGTAACTCTCTGATACAATAGCCCTGAAATGAAGAAAGGAAACGTAAAATGTGAAAGTTTTACAGAGTGATGAAAATAAGCTGTGATACCTACTTTAACTGTTTGCTCCAACAGCAAACGAAGCTAGTGAACTGTTCGGCTCTCGGAAGTAAAGACATTTTCAACCATCTTTACCGGAGTTAAAAACAATGTAGGAATGACGATACTGCCACCTGGTGACAGAGTTCATCATTGCAACCAGAGGAACACAAACCTCTTTTCCTCTCGTCTATTTGAAGATAACCTTTGATATAAATTGAAGACCTTTGTGGTTCATTCTATCTATCTATCTATCTATCTATCTATCTATCTATCTATCTATCTACATAAGACCTTTGTGAGCGCACTCTGTCTTCCACATATAATAGTAAAAAAAACTGGCCTACATGTACAATCATGGGCTGCATTTTGCATGAAACATATTTTTTTCATAAATCAAGTGACAAAGCTCGGTGACTCATCATTTATTGAACTGTTGCATTTTTTTTCCTGTTCATTGTACACACACTAAGCCTGTTACCCTGTTTTTTTCTAATGAGAGCTATTTACATAAAAAGGTAATAGCCTCAGACCCTTTAGTGAGTCATTCAACTATCACTGACTCTCCTGTGTGATTATCAGCCTTTAGGCTTACTGTCATTAAAACCACATAATGATTGAGGTGTATAAAATAAAATTACCTCACAAATTAAAGCCATTATATGTATTCATAAATTATCAGACCGTTTTCACCATCAGAAATATGTAAAAAAAATTAGATTATGTTGTCTGTACAAGGCATCTCACACACACACACACACACACACACACACACACACACACACACACACACACACACACACCTCATACATCTGAATAACTGAAAACACATTGACTGCTTTGTTATTCATATTGTTACATGATAACCCACATTGCTGTTAAAATAATCATGTCCCGTGGTTCTGATGATGAGCAGGCTGCCTGGGGTGAACACGAACAGAAACTCGAACATGTTTTTATCGATGCGTTATGCTTTTTGGTGTTAAAGTATAGAAAGGACCTCATCTGGGAAACAGGTCAGACCCTAATTTTAGTGGGGTCCTTTTTGGTTTTGTTTTATTTTATTTTATTCTATATTATTTTATTTTATTTTATTTTATTTTTTACCTTTGTTCCATAAGTAAGTACTAAAACAAAATACCCATCTTTTCATTAGTTGCTAGTGATGGACAGACCCTAAAAGCTTTGTGGAAGTCAGTATACACAGACCACCTGCTGTGTTGTTCTTTAATGACACATTTTTTTCTATATGGAGAAAAACAAGACCAGTAGACCAAACTGGGATCACTTGATCTCCTTATTTGTGTGTCCTATTGATAACAACAAAACTGTAAAAACTGAAAACAGAGGCAAGTTCAGAAAAGTTGTGCTTGAGGTGGCATTTGCACCTCCCATTGTGGCCACTTGTAAATCCTGGACCATGCAGGAATTTTCTTGATCATTTTATACTTTAAGCACTTTTAATCTTGACAAATTCCACTCAGATATGGTGTAAATATCATCAAATCAAATCAAATTTTATTTGTATAGTGCCAATTCACAACAGCTGTCATCCCAAGATACTTTTCAAAGAACAAGAGCAGGTCTAGACCACGCTCATTGTTTGATGAATTATCAAGACCCAACCTAAGATGGGTTTTGGCCCATCTCATCTAACATGAGGAACAGTGGCAAGAAAAAACTTCATTTAATAGGCAGAAACCTTGGGCAGGACCCGACTCATGCCAGACAGCCACCATGCCACTGCTGGATTGGGGAGGAATACAGAGAGATAGGGGGAGAGAGGGAGAGAGAGAGAGAGAGAGAGAGAGAAGAGGGGAGAGGGCAGGGGGAGAGAGAGAGAACAAGATAGGGGAAGGAGAGAGAGAATGAATAAACCATGGCAAGAAACTTTTCAAGAAACTAATCTCAAAATATCACCTCTAAGAGCAACATGACCTCACTGCTAGTTTAATAAACTGAATACAGGTTGCCAAGACATCCTGCAAATTCAAGCCCTCGCAGTCTTATAACTGACTCATATGACAACTCATTGGACACCTAGTCTGCCTGCTGTATTTATTCATAAGGCTCCGCACACAAACTAGACAGCAATAACACCAGGCAGAGGCTGTTCTGTTATCTCTATCCGAGTCCTGTGCAGGGATCACACTGTGTGACTTGCTGTGTTTGTGGACAGCAGATGTATAATGGTGAGTAAACAGGCGTTTGCCTTCACCAGCAGCTGTTGGGTCAGATGCCAAGTGATGGCGACGCACGTCAGGAAGGAGCTGTTTGCATGGCGGTCCCTGGCTTCGTGCAGATTACAAAGGAGTTATCTTCGCACCCTGTGTGCTTTTCTTATGAGAGTGTTATTGTTTCTTGAACGAGCCTGTTTCTTAAAGACTCTGTTTTTGTTAGGTTATCGTTAGTTTTTAACCCTCCTCCTATGTTAGGGTCTGCACTGACCCGTTTTTTATATTAAATGCTTAAAAGAACCACATAAATTAGCTTTTTTGCATCAAGACTTTTTGACTTGTCAGGAACCTCTATTTCAACAAAATAAAAAATATAAAATGACTAAATTATAAAATGCTCTTTATGGCACTTGTGGTGTTAGGGTTGCTGTTGACCCGGTTAGATCAATATCTAATAATTAGAGCAAAATCTGAAATCATATGTGCACTGTCAGGCACCACACTGACAGTCAGATCCTCTTCCAATCATGGGAGAGTTAGGAAATTCACATTTTTCCATGTTTTGTCCTTCACAAAAAACTACGTTGGGCAGGTCCAGACATGTGAGATCAATTCAGTATAGTTGTCTGTTTGAGGGGTATACTGACAAAGAAAGTCCCAGAGGCCCACGACAAAAACTATTATGAGTAATATTTTCATGGATAATGAAGCCTAACAAGGTAACCTAGAGATGAGAACCGAATTGGATGATAGAAATTTGTTTTTAGTGTAATTTACAGCTGATTTAAGACACAGGTCAAAACCGACCCTTAACATGGTGGGTGTGTAGTAAAAGCAAACACAGGAGGAAGATTAACTCCCTCTTTAATCACCATCATAAATAAAGTGTTTTTTTTTTTTTTTTTTCAAATAAAAAAACATCAAAACACTGCCAACACAGACAATTTCAGCTTTATGGGGTCATCTACATCTACAGGTACATGACAAAACTGCAAAACAATATCAAATGTACATTCACTCATTTGTTCCTGAATTTCTTGTCTTGACCTGTCTGCAGGCTTTAAAAAAACATCATCACAGTTCTGTCAAAGTGTTCAAAAAAGGTGTGAGATTCACCAGGCTTACGCAGGAACAGCTTTCATGACTCAGAGAAGCTCAGCTGGACACACTCATCTTCTTCTCCCAGTGTGTAAGGTGACAGGCACTAACCACAGTGGATTCACGGGACATGAATGGAGGATAATCTGCCTAAAGTGGATGTTTTATACAACGAGCAGTATACAAACAGGCACTTGGATTAGGGTATCATCTCCTGTTCCTGTTTCTGTTCCAGCTAAATAATCTACAAGAAGCTGGCAGCGAGCAATAAAGATTCAGCAACACAACCACACCGAGAAAAAAAAGGCTACAATGATGTTTTGTTTGACACATTTCCATCCTAATAACCACAAAACAGCAAAGACAAAAGAATAAAGCGGCACGGATAAGGAAAAAACCTTATGTGATGGAGGGGAAGTGCTTTTAGTGGCAGCAACTGCGAGGAAGTGAGGTTATCTCGAGTGACACCCTTGACAGACCCATCCTAAGGCGGAGCAGCATCTCCCACATGACTAGAGCAGGACTTGTGAGAGGAGGAGAGGGAGTTGGTGGGGCTGAGCTGAACTGCAGTTGTGTCCTGAAGCGTATGCTCACTCGTCTCCATCTCAAACGCCGCTGTCCCCATACGCATCAGCCCCCACTTCTCTCCTCCTTTCACCTTATGGGCCCCTGTGTGGGTGGGGGGCCTCCTGCTGACCACGCAGCAAGCTATGAAGAAGGCCAGGGCTATGAGTAAAAGAAGAGGGCCGATGATGATGGGGGGGTTTCCTGTTGGGATGAAGGTGCCGAAGGCAAAAGCTCCCACTAGGGTGATGTTGATGCCAGCCAGCATGATGCAGAGGCCGCAGGCGCAGCAGAGCGCGGGGGAGGGCAGGCCCGGGTGAGAAGGTTTGGTGGACTGATGGGGGACCTTCTTCTTGTGAGCAGATGATCTGGAGGTTTTTTCAGGGAGTACCATGTCTCGAGGTGAAATCTGTAGGACCAAGAGAGGATAATATCTAATATGAAGAATAACAGAGCACACCTCAACTGCTTCCCACTGTGCAAAAGTGATAAATATCATACATTTGGAGCTACACTCTACATTGTGGGTATCGGTTCTCTATGCTGGAGTGTTGATGTACTCCCACTTCCACAAACTGAACACAGCAAGGATCCATCTTGTCTGTACATCCTCTGTACGCTGGTTAGACATTCATGGTTACAAAAAATACATGACTGTCTTGTTGGTGTCCGTTAAGTTTCCATTACTTTAGTAGCCTAAATATCATGTCACATGCAATTGTCCAAAGAGTCGTCAATCAAGGTGTTATATCCTGTTTAAAACATTAACACACTTTTAAAAACTAGTTTCAGAAAAACATTAACGTAAATCATCATGATACAATCAAGCTTTGATTACAGAACCCATGACTAGAAATAAAACATTTAGATTTTCAAGTTTGACCAATGTTAAACTGTTAACATCATTACTATTACCATTATTAATATTTTGTTATGATTTTATTATCATTATTAGTATCGACCTTTTACTATCCTGTTTCCTGCTTTCTACCCCCCTCTTTTATTAAATTTCTTTTTCTTACCTATTTTATGTTTTTATTTTGGTCTTCATGGTCTCATTTTATGCTTTAGGGTTCTTGTATTGTCTGGGTTTCTTACGACAAATGAAATTGGCCTTCAGTTCAGAGGCCTTGTTTTTAACTGAGCTTTTGTTTTTTATTTGTTTTTATTTCCATGTGCTGATGTTCTGTGCTTTACGACTGTTTGTCAAAGCACTTTGTAAACTTCTGTTATTAAAAGTGCAATGAAAATAAAGTTATTATATTATAATTGATCTCCAGCTTACATATAAATTGATCCCACATACAACATTGCTCTACAAGTTAGCACGTAACTGTCTGTAATCATTACAGTCCAGGTGTGTAAGATATGGGCTCAATCAAGATGAAAAACACATTTTCTGATGGACTAGATTGTAATAACTGTTATGGTTAAATGTTAAACTGTTAAATGTAACTGTTAATTGATTGATGTAACCAGCACTGTGGAGAAAACTTATATTATACGGCACTTACTCACAAATATGTGGCAGATGGCTAATGTTGTTCTTTATCTCTCCACTTCAATCCTGATCAGACTGTTGTTGTTACCAACACCCAGCCCAGTATATATAATCTATATAACGCCAGAATAGCCTGATGGAGAAACCTCCTTTGACAGCCGTCTAACATCTTAAATCAAACTTTCTCTATAACTCTCCTAGCAGCAGATGCTGAACTGTCATCACAGTAATCACACCTATGCAACATGGTCTTACGCACAAATTGCTCTCAAAACCTGTATGTATCTGTGGCTTCACTTTTGGGAGCTGTTACGCTGTCCATCTTTTTGTGCAGACTGAACTGAGACTAAACTCCTTTTTTGGGAGACAGAGATTAAGTTGTTGATGAGACAGAACATTTTTTGATGCTGTACAGCTTTAAATACATTATATATATGCCACATTTCCAAACTTTCATTCAGAACAACTAATGCAATATGCTACATTTTCATCTAAATCTGCCATGAAGACTTTACGCAGCAGGAATCAATGATACAGTATATTAAATGCGCGTGGAAATACCCCAGAAAGTCCAGTTATATTCGGCGACAAAAAGTATTTCAAAAAAACCACTGACGACTCTAAAAGCCATAGAAAACTGAAAAATCCTGATCGAAAGAGAAAACCCCAAAACAACAATACTGCAGCATCACTTCGCGCTACTCTTCAGTGGTAATTACCTTAGATCAGATCCATTCTGCAGTCTGTTTGTCCGCCTTTGGTCCCTTCATCATGGAGTTCAGAGTCAGAGCGGTGGTCGGTGTCTCTCTCTGCAGCAGGTGACACTGATCTGAAGCTGCTCTACTTCTGCTGCTCTGATAAGGTTTAATAAGTCGACCACAGGGGGGCGGTATTTCACTCTAAAAAGAAAAGATGCTCCAAAAAAGACAAAGTTTGATATGTGTGCATTTAATGGACACATCTCCACAAAAATCAGACCAAGAAACGCTGTTTTAATAGTGAATCCATCTGTAATAATACTGTAGATGTCTATTATTGTATTTCTACTTGATAGAGAATTCTCTTTTGCAGGCTGAGACTCAACAGAATTGAAATAAATCATAATAAAATGTTCTCTGTAGAAGTTGAAGGACATGTCGCCTTCAACAGTATGGACAAATCCTTCAAAAGTCAGTCAAATAAGATGCTAAACATTCAAAAGTTAGACCGAAGTCCATCTGGCATATTCATTCAATCTAACGATACCTGCTATTTTACAAAACCACAAAGTACTTAAAAAAAATAGCATTGAGCTGGTGGAAAATTCACATTTATGACTGGTGAGTTGCAATCCTAGATATCATCATTTGTCTAGTAACCAGAAATAATTGATGTAACCTAGTTAGTCACTCTTTAGTAGACTTAATACAGCTTTACAATTTTCCTGTGATTCCTTAAAGAGATATTTCATTTAATCGATTCAACAAAGACACTGCCAGAGAGGTGAAATGTTGAGGATGTTTTTATTGGGGACACAGAGGGCTAGTGAAAACAGGCTCTCTCACTGAGCTGCATTCACAGGACCCTGTAGGAGCCTTGACAAACTTCAATGGCACCCCATAATTGCGCAGCGGTTCGCTCTGTCTCATCTGATGCCGTTACAGGTTGATGGGCTGTGGGCAAACAAGTCCTTTGATGATTCGTAATGAGAGCTTCGGGGCTTCAACATACCAAGCAGTTCTGTCCTGATGTGTTTATTCACTCAGAGCAGATACGTCAATCCCTGCCAGCGAATGACGGTCCTTCAGTTGCTATAGGGATTGGGTGTCCATGGCAACAGTGTGAAAATAGGGGCGGGTAATCTAGCTGGCATCACATGAAGTTAAAAGGGTCAAGAGGAATAAAGTGACACTATGCCATCGGTGAATCCATTCAAACACAGACGGAAATGCCACAAATAAAAAAGTAAGAATACTTTTGATTTTAAAAAAAAGAAAATAGGGTCAAAGGTTAATATCAGCAACTTAAACCAGATGAAAATCAAAAAGTAACCTTTTCCTGAAAAAGTTAATTTTCTCCCTGGAGCACCAAGAACCTAAAATAAAAAAAAAACTGAACAACATTAAATAGATTTGTATAAAAATAAATCCCTTCAACATTAGTATCCACTCGTCTATCTTTAGGAAGTGTAACAGCAGCTACTCATTTCACCTGTCTCATTCTTTACAAACAACCATCACGAAAGCAATTTTCACATTTCAGATTCCTCCACCAACAACCACTCTGAGATATCAAATCAATGAGACTATAACAAAGTACTTTGGGATGGTTTTACACATCAGTACAAAACATGCAAACAGAAGAGCCTGAGGTAAAGTCCGACTCTTGGGCGTTCCATTTCAGATGAATTAGGTAAGTGATCTTTAAAGTACATCAGTGCTACAGGTAGCTTGTGTTTAGGTGAAAGGATAAGTACGAGAAAATGGTTTGAACAAAGGCTTCTCTCTGACCTCCACATTAGTTCACACTCCTACACTTTCAAAAGAAACAATTCACATGTGATAATGGAGAAAAGCTCACAGTCTCCTTTGAGCGATGTTTTTCTTTATCACTTACACCACATTCACAAATCACAAACACTGACATGCTTCAAATATGCAAAACTCTGAGACGGCTTATCCCTTTCCTCCTTAATTGAGAGGCAATAAGTAGCATTTCAATATATAGAATGAATAAATTCACAGCTGGACATCAAGAAAACTTTAGCCAGTTCGAATAGGATGATATTGCATTAGGTCAGCAGCAGCTGCCAAACTGAGCTGAACCCTTCGGTGTGCAATGCCATGGTGATGATATGTACTGAGAGATACTTGGCATTAAGAGTTGTTTCGACTGTGTAAGCATCGTTTAATAAAAATAAATAACTCTGTAAAGACCTGCGGTAAAAGTAAACCCAAAGCTCTTCTCAAATAAAAGACAAATAATTCAGGCAGCTTAAAACAACTCCTGGACAACCAACAGGAGTTTCAACTACTGGGTAAATTAAGAAGTTGATAGCCAAGGTTTAAGTGGCCCCTTGGTAGTCAAACTGTCTATGTTAAAAAAATTTACTGGCCATGAGAGGGAGAGCTTCAACACCGAGATCAGTTTATCACCTGTGATACTGTGTAGCTGATCCTAAAAGGCTTCCTGTGAGAACAAAAATAAAAGCACGAGGAGCAGGCAGCGGCTAAAATCAATAAGAAAACACGACGAGAGGACTCCTACTGGTCCTTCAAGCAGCGAGGTTGTCCGACGCGGGTGCGAAGTCTCGAGTGCGCAGAGCATTGGACTGAGCCCGTCTGCGGGCCAGTCTGGAGTTGGAAGGTGGAGAAAGCCTCATGGAGCAAACGATGACCCCCGAGTCCTCCTGCTGCTCATCGTGCTGGGAGAGCTGCCGGTTAAAGGCGATGGCTTCTGCTGCGAACTGAGTCAGGTCTTTGGTGCTGCTGTTCCTGGAATAACAGAAAAGAGAAAGAGGAGCATTTCTGAGACTGTTCCCATCTTTGATATCTAAACATTCCCATGACAAACGTGCATCTCTCTGTTTCTCAACTGGGTGAAGTCTTAAGCTTTCCTTCCTAAAGGAGTTTAAAGTTTCTGGATGGGACTTTTCACAGAGTTTTCTTACCTCTGAAGAACATGTGGAGTTGGAAGCCCTCTTTCCGGTGCATTCTGTAGACAAAAATAAAAGATAAAATGTAAATAAATACTGAATTGAATGGTTACATGACCTTAATTCATAAAGGTTGAACACTGTTGATGTTGTGCAACGGTTTTAAACTGCATTCTTATCCCATATTTAACTACTAATACTAAAGAGACAGCACATCTAATGTTAAAGCTTAGTTATTACATTGTCATGTAAATAAATGTATTTCCTTTTTAGATATACTGAGAAGACCAGTTTCTGGGGTTTTGAAAATGGCACATCCTATTCTTGCCTGATACAGGATGTTAGGCGCTGTTTTGGTGTCACGCTGAGCGTTTTCAGTGTTTCCAGTGGGTGACAAGTCTGGACTGAGGGCGGGCCAGTTTAGTATCTGTACTCTCTTCATTCAGAGTTATACTATTCCAATGTGTGTAGAATGTGGTTTGGAATTGTTCAGTAAAAAATACCAGATTTTCCCTTTAAAAGGCAAAAGCATTATCCAGACAAAAGCACATGTTGCTTAAAAACCTTCATTAACTCACCATTAATGATGCCTGGTTCCAGATGTGTAAACTGCTCATACCATCCCCATATCACTCAGGGGCAGTGGCTTTTTTAAATTATTATTATTATTTTTATTATAATAATAATAATTATCATTATTGTTATTATGAATCCTCTGAATCTTTTTAATGATTTAATGAAATCTCCAAATTCTTTGCACTTTTTAGCTAAAAAAACAATATTCTGGACTTATTGAACTATTAGCTCATATAGCCGCTCAAAGCTTTACTTCTAAGTGACTCAGTGTCTCTCCATGCCCTTTTTTTATCCAGCCATTTAACTAACCTGATGTACCTGCAGGTGTCCCTGTCCCCTACATTTTTGAAACACGTTGCTGGCATCAAATCCTAAATGAGTGTATATTTTTCCATAACACAATAAAATGTTTCTGTTGTAGTAAAATGCTTAAATTGTGAAATGTTGTCTTTGTATTTTTTTCAATTAAATATGGAGTTGAAGTAATCTGAAAAGCATCTTTATCAATATTTCTCACAACTTTTACTCTGTATTTATGAGGATGAAACATAATGATGTACTATCAAATAGTATTTGCAAAAAAAGTATATTTGTATTCTTCACCAAAGAGCACCTTCAAAATAAGCTTTGAACTTCAGTGCACTCTTGACTCTCCTTTTTGGGCAAATAAGTACTTTGAAAGCTATTTTGGTGTTCACAGATGCACTGATACTCACCCCCTGAACCCAAGGGTGCTTGAGGACCTGAGCAGCACTGAGGCGCAGAGTTGCATCTCGAACCAGCAGCTTTGATATGAGGTCTTTGGCCCCCTCTGTGATATGACTCCAGTCCTTTTCTGGAAACTCATACTTGCCTTGCTGAATGCTGTCAAACAGGTAACTCTGAGGAGAGAATTTCCATGGATAGTTTAGAAATTTAAAAACAGTCTGGTGGAGGCATAAACTGCTGAGAATACTAAAACACAGGATGCAGTTACAGCCAAGTTAAGCAGCGCAGCCACTCACATTTTTGTGGATCTTTTTTTGTCTTGAATGCGTCATTTAACACAGAGTTAATGCGAGGAAAACAGCATGACAGACTCAAAATGTCACAAATCGCAGAACTTAATTTCATGGAAATGAAGGCAATAAACCCAGAGTGACACCAGACACTGAGGCAGGGCAGTGTGACTTCAGTCCATTGGCTGCTCAAGTGACAAGTGCTACTGAAGTCTATTCAGACTTTAAAAAGGACAGCTGTCACCTTAGATTACACCAGACTCTGACGCTGTCTTATTCCGTGTGGTGCAATGAGGATTTAAGATATACAAATCAGAAACCCTAAACTAAGGTTCCTAAAACTAAAAAGACAAAAGAAAGGAAGTAAAAACTGAAAGAATATTTTCTTAAGAGACCTGTTATTGCTGTTACTGCTGTCTGTCTCAGAAAAAGGAGCTATCTTTAACCGTAAAATGGAAAGTGATTGAGTCAGAGAGTGATCTGACGAAAGTACCTGGCAGGCTCTGCAAGTCTCTCCCCGATCCCAGCCGCAGTCGGTGCCACAGTGGCCTGTGAAAGGGGGGCTGCCGCTCAGCAGGATGTAGAGGATCACCCCGAGGCTCCACAGATCACAGCGCTTGTCGTAAAAGGATGCCTCATCAGTGAACACCTCCACCACTTCTGGAGCCATGTACTCTGCTGAGCCACACTGGAAAAGGGAAAAACATGAATAACGTCATTGTTTGTTTCAGATTAAGCTTGTATGAATTTGCCATGAGTTTGTCATCAGACTGTACCGGTGTGGTGAGCTCTGGAGTTGTTATGGGTGTACAGGCACTGCTGAGCTTCACTCCACTTCCCAAATCAAAATCACAGATCTTTACAGGAGACACCTAAAAAAAGAGGAAGTAAAACATCAAGTTTCATCATCCAAACTTTCAGATCTTCTTTCTGATCTTCCTCTGAGAGTTTCCATCCCTTACTCGATCAGTGTATTCACAGAGGATGTTCTCCAGCTTCAGGTCTCTGTGGGCGATTCCTGCAGAAGAGTACACTGTCAGCATCACAGAATACAAAAAAGGTTCAATTTCTTTTTCTCGAGCTGTGTTTACGTCCTCCAACCTTTTGTGTGCAGAAAGTCCAGAGCCTGTGCGATGTCCGTGACCACCTTACTGGCCTCCAGCTCATCAAAGTGCTTCCGGTTCTGGATGTGTGTGAGGATAGAGCCTGATCGATGGAAAGACAGTCACTTCTATTACTTGATGTGTGTTTAAACGAAGTCATCTAAAAAAATAAACAAATAAATGCTGAGATTGTTGAGATATTGAGCTTTGTGCTCCTACTTACCTCCACGCAGCTTTTCAAAGACTAAATAAAAGCAGGAGCTGTCTTCAAAGAACTGGATCAATTCCAAAATGTTCCTGGATCAAGATATTTCCCAATGATTACAACTGCTTTCACTTTTGTCTGTTCTAATTCAACAAACATGTTTGTCACAAACATTCACTCACCTGTTTCCTTGACACTGGTACAAGGTCTCCACTTCCCGAAACACTCTGCTGCGGCTGTGCCCTGCACTCTTTTCTATGATCTTATGAAAACAGAAATATAGAAAATATTACGATCATCTTATCTATGCTTGTGAATATTTTGATAAATATATTCTATCTGTATTTAAACTTGACAAACTTTCATTTCTTCTTGCTGTTATCCTGAAAAAATAAGGATAACCTTTTCAAAGTGGTGTCTACCAAACTATTCTCACTTACCTTTACAGCAAACTCCTGTCCATTTTGGAGACTTGTGCATCCTTGAACTTTGGCATAAGCCCCCTGACCCAGCACCTCATCTGTCAATTTGTAAAGATCTGATGGAAATGTGACATAGAAGAGAGCAGCAGGTGTTTAAAAGATGAAAATGTCCTCTTTATTTCTTACTTTATAGTAAGCAGAGTATGACTTGCAACACTTTTATCATCATTACCATCAAAAGTGCCGGTGGAGCTGTCTGTCGCTCTGGTTCTCTTTTTCTTCTTCCTTTTAGCTGCATCTGGGATGTTCACTGGTTGGCTCTTTTCCGGCTCTGAAAAAGGTACAGATGAAACCAATCGGTTTTTTTTAAATAGATCAGACTTTGCCCGAGTATTTCTGTTTATAGCTGGACTATAACTTTCAGAGCTGTGTTACCTGCCAGGCCTTGGGAAAGTTGCTGTTGTCTCTGCTCTGAAGCGATCCCATTCTCCTGAATTCCCCCACAGCTCTGCCCCACTTGGCCCAGAGCCAGAGTGTTGTCCTGTAACAGAGAGAGGGCGACGGGGTAGGGGGAGAGGAGGGAGGAAAGAACGAGAGTAGCCAGATAGATCAGACGGTGAAGAAAGCCTGAGAAAGAATATACGATTTTCCATTTTATTCTGAGTTAAATGGCAAAAATACCACAAAAACAAACTTTCTGTTATCTTATGGTCTAATACTTTTTAGACCTAACTGATTAGTTATCTGCTGTGGCACTGTGCCAAAACAGTGGTCTGACTAGGACACAGGAAACAACCTGACAGGCCTTATCTTTGTGTGTCTGATATTACGAGAAACACATGCAGTAAAAAGTGCATGACTCATGGGGGAGTGATGAAACTTCTACATTAATACAATGATGACCTTGGGCATCTGTGAACTACCTTCTGGCTTTATCTCACACAACAACATGTGTCGGGAAGTTGAAAGTGTCGAAACAGTTCAGCTCTTACCTGGAAAGAGTGCTGGAGGGCGTGCAACTCAGTCATCATGCTGTGCCTCACCATACCTGCCAGCTGAAAGGTCACAAATATATATCTTAGAGATGAGCAACACCAGCAGGGAAGTACCTACTGAACACCTGTTATAGCTGCTGGACAATAACTCATTCAAAAGTGGTGGGAAGTCACTGAATTTACGCAATAAAAGGCAGAAAAAGCAGAAGTCCTCTGTAAGCGATATCCTGTTTTCACTTTCTGATGTCAAACTTCATCTCAGTTCGGTTTGGGTCATTTGAGTGAAGTTATTACAGTAACTTGGGGGTATTTAAGTCCACTTGAATAGGCTTCTGCTGTGCCTCCTGTCAAGTAAAGGGACTGCTACCTCTGCATATAGCTTTAACTCAATATCTATAGAGATCCCAATGCCAAGTGACAAGATATTCACCTCTACTGCAGCACTAAATCTCTTCTAGCAAATGTGTAGTAACCAAAGGGTGAATATATAGGAGGGTTTAGACGGATAATACAAAAGCTATCACTGTCCACGTTGTTCCTTCACAGAGAAAAACACCTTTCAAAAGAGGCAAAGACGTGTAAAATCTCTCTCAGGCTATCAGAGGACACGGTGTAAACAATGACCGCTCTCTCTCTCTGCAATCCAGCGTTAGCCCCAGCGAGCTAGCAACACACTTAGCTTACACTAGCTTCTACTCTTTACTCGAATTCATTCACAACGCTTCATAAACAGAGTCATACACAGTCTCATTAATGAAAATATGAATATAAAAAGCCATACAAACCTGGCCTCTGTGTCCAATTCAGCCAAAGCCCCTCTGCCAAAGCCTCTGACAGCTGATGTAAGCATCCTCTGCTAGCTGACATCCATCTCTCAGACAGTCGGTGACGCACAGGCGGGAAAACACAGAAACAGACGTTTGCCCCGCCTACTTTTGCATACCTCTACTTCCTATTGGTCAAAAAGACATCCACCACGTATACGTCACACAGAATGATTCCATATGCCGCGCCCCCATCCACGTAGTGGGGATTTTAAGTGCAGGAGAGTGACCTCATTTATGCAGGAGGAGTTTGAAAGGCTTGGCCGGTCAGAGCGCCTCACGACACATGCCTTCAACCTGTCATCATGATTACTGTGTGAGCTCCAACCTCATTCCTGAAGGCTTTTGTCTGAGTGATAATGGCATTAGTTTGCGGTTGTTTTGACGCCATGAGTGTTTTGTTTATGAAAGCAAAATCACAATGCATTTTTATTTGTTGCGACATATGCCGTAATGTTGTGGGCGATCATATCTATCAGCAGATGATGATTGATCTTAAAGTTAGATGTTGACGTTGTAGTGGGCCTTGGTGATGTACAAAAGTGCATTACACTGAAAAGTATTCCCCACGTATTTGTTAACGAAGTAGACAAAATAAAACAACAATAACACACTCCAGTACAGCACCACCACTATGTCTTCTATAATAAAGAAAAATAATCACCTGATCATGTTAAAATTAACATTTACAAGCTTTCTAAAAGTTAAATTATAAGATTTCATTGTGTATATGAAGAGTCCATGCATTTTGTGGTAGGGGAGAGTGGGGTAAGATGAGCCATTTTTCATATTTCTGATCACTACATCAAGGAAATCATAGTTTTGTCTCTAACTAGTGTATCTGCATATATTTCAAGATGTTGTGCATCCCTGCAAACCAACAGAATGAGTGTAAACATAACTGTCTTGTTAATATAGCATGCCAAAAAAGTTGTATCCCTACTACCGGTACAATAATTTTTTGTAATATTATTGCATATAACTGCTAAAAAGCTGTTTGTATAACAATTCATTTCAACATGAGAATGTTTTTAAGTGATTCAGAACATTCACAGCAGTATTTTTGAAAAGAAAAAGTAACACATTTCAACAATCTGAACTGAAACTCTGATCCTCTCATCAGACTCCTTTTACTTTCTCTGTTGAGCCACGGACCCAACTTACCCCAGAACTACTATGATGACTTCATTAGTCCTCTAAGCTAAAATGGTGGACTTTAATGCTCAGTTTTTGACCTCATGTTGTAGCTCATAGATACCACAGTTGATGTATAAAACAAATTTAAAATGATCTTTTTTTGGTCTGAACACAATCCTAATAAAACTTAAGACAAACTAAATTCACTTTCAAGAGTAAAAAATGTTATTTTGTAAATAAATGTCTAACCTCTTCATCCATGTGCTTCTAACCTTCACAGACTCCATGAATTGATGCCCATCTCCTAAATATTTGGTCACATGATCAATTTCTTTTACCATTTCCAAGCAACAGGGGGTGGCTCAGCTTACCCCACTCTCCCCTATTTGTTAACAAATTGGACAAAACAAAACAACACAACACACTCCAGTACAGCACCACCACTACATCTTTGAATGAATGAAAATAATCACCTGATCATGTTTAAATTAACATTTACAAGCTTCCTGAAAGTTAAATTATAAGATTAAATTGACCATAGGAACCGTCTATACATTTTGTGGTATACAACACATTTGCAAAATCACAGATTTTTTTCAAGGTTCACTTTTTAATCATCTTAACTCTATAAAAAGACTGACAGAACATAAAACAAACATCATTCTTGACAATGAAACCCAACACTTAAAACATGTCAAACACAAACATGCACAATAGTAAAGAGGAGGCAATAGTACAGGAGATGTAGATTTACAAAACACCACAAAGTCATGAAATGAAAGCATTAAACACCATTATCATATTATCAAAAAAGAGAAAAGAAAATCTGTCATTGTGAACACTGACAGAAATGTCTGGAATGGTGGACCTTTCAAGTTCAACATTGAAAATCACTCACAAAACTTCATGTCGGATTGTTCTTTGTTTTGAGTGTTTCAAAGCTGATGATTTCTCACAGGGCTCAGATTGTGTCAGAATGTAAACTTCTTTGTGTGTGTGGCTGCATTTAGTTGCATATCTTCTCTGTCATCTCTTTCTGTTGGAAAAGAAAGGAAAACAAAGATCATAATTAGGAAAAAAGAAACTCATTTTGTGTGGAGACATGGATGTTGACTGTGTTATCAACACTGTCAATATATAGAACGTTGTTTGTCACTGTGCAAACACACCCAACAACAAAATGTTTGACAGTAAAATAAGGGCCTGTTTACACTCATCTTTTGTGAGTTGACGTCCCTGTTTTAACGGGTAAAGAAAAAATAGATTCTAGGGTCCCATAATGATGATGACAGAAGCTTGTTGTTGACGCAAACACAATGCTAACTGTTGAGAAAGCAACAACTCAAAAAATCTTTCTTTTTATTTAAATTTGGCAACTTCTTTTAAATACTGTTGCTGTGAACCGACACCTTTCTATCAAAAATGAGTTAGAAAAATTACAAATGAATGCTGATCCAGTTCCTCGAGTCAAATGTCATGTAGTCCTTGGGCTGCACAGGACATGCTGTATATATGTTACGGATGAAAGAGAGGCTACTATTAACTACCAACTCTACCGATACAAAATACTGGTCTGATCTTTTCTTCTACTACCTGTTTCCAAGCTCAGACATCTGTGATTCTCCCTATTGTCTCACCAGCGGCTCCAGTTCTGAGTGATCGATGAGGTTGAACTCTGAGATGAAGTAATAGTAGTGTTTGTAGCAGGTATTGATGTGTGCTTCGGCCCCCATGCTGCAGATGCTGTCAAAATGATGGATGTAAACATGGACGAACACTCTGAAGAGACGACTCAGAATCTTCTTACAGACCTGCTGGAAGTTCTTGGGGAAAGGTACACCTGGTGTGAAGAAATGAAGAGGGTTACAGAAATAAAGAGCGGGATTTCTAACTGGGTTTATGTTTTGAACAAGATATGTGGCGAGATTTGATCACTTTGTATCATGAAAGTCATCATGTGACAAATGTCATACTCTGGTTTCACCTCTGCAGCATTAATCATTGAGTCTGACTTTCATGAACAATATATTCCAGGGATAACTCTTAATTATTAGCATCCTCTCTTTTTAGGATATGAAAGAGACAGGTATGAGCTTTTCAGTCACACCCAGTTATATGATTTCATGGTGCTGAAAATACTTGTATGTAATTGTATGTTGGAAAATACAGAACAAATGTCCTAATTTTTGGACTAGATAGATATAGATATATAGATATATAGATAGATATATAGATAGGAATCTCCTGGGAATACCTGATGAGTAGCTCAGCCAGTTAAGCAAATTATCACAGTTTGGCTGCAATAAAAAACAGATTCTCACAAGTTTTACTTTTACAAGTTTTGCTTGTAAAAGCAATAGGGAGATTAAGTCACTGTGTTTTCCCAGCGATGCAAAAAAAAATCATACAATTTGGCCTAATCACAAGCTATATGTTGCAGGAAACATTCATAAGATGTATCTACATCTTCAACTGTGGAGGTATATGCAAGACAAAGAGGTACCTGGTTGGTTCAAACAGAGATGCTTTGATTTCAGCGCTAATCACTAGGCGAACTCCTGGAACATGCATAAAAATATACTGCTAATGAATGCTGATTATCAAACCTGATGCACAGACAAAATAGCACCACAATCATCCCATTCAACCTCCTCTAAATGTCAATTCCATTCTTCAATTAACCTCTGCCTGATCTTAGTGGCCGTGGTGTTAATGAAGGGATAGCAGTGCCTTCACTCCACATTAGCACAGTCAACAATCAATCAGGTATTAGGTTACACAATCAATAACAGACATTGGTAGACTCCTCACACACCGACTCTGGTGGGGAAGATGTCCTCGTCATTGATGAGAGACTCTATCCAGTCCATCAGCAGGTTCATGTACTTGAGTGCGGGCAGTTTGGTGGGCTTTTTGTAGTCGTCTCCATCCTGCCACCTGTACTCGTACCTCAGCCCCCCTGACATGATGGGACATGTGCGCTCGGTGCAGAACTCGCTCATCGTGCCATAGATCAAGTTGATCCTGTTAAAGAAATCCACCACATGAACAGCAACCCAGTCGTTCATGCTTTCCCCCTCCGGCAGCTGAACCACCTTCCTCAGGTCAAGGCCAGACTTGAGCGAGGCCTGCGCCTTCTTGTAGAGTTCGAAGCGCTGAGTGCCCGGTTCAAACCGTTTCCTTGGCCTGAATGTTTTGTCTTTGCTGAACACTTGTCCAAGACACAATGCCATTGACTTGGTGGTTTCCCCTCAGATAAGGGGGGATAAGTGCTTCAAAAGATACTAAGTTTGAGTTTGATAAAGTGCAGCCTTCCTGGGAAATAGTTTCAACTTGGAGATCAGGTCACAGTGGTCAGCGTCTGTCATGTAAAGATAGCAAGGAGCTCTTGGTCTCAGGCGGTGGGGTGTATCTGTGAAACAGAAAAACAACAGAAATCAGAGTCTTTTCAGTCTACTGCTGTTGACCAGAATGATCCATATTACATACAATGCTAAAACCTTGAGCATCACTTTCAGATTGTACACAAAGGGATTTAAATGAAAGGGGACAAGACAAGCATGACAAGCAGAGAAAACTTCACTCCAAACCAATATGCGTTCATCTCTCTGCCAATATTGTCCCCGCTCTTTAGAGTGACCAAAAATGGTTCTATCACAAAAGTTGAGGAGAGCTCATTGATAAAAATAGCCGTAGTTGGCTTTGGCTTTGGCTTTGGTTGTGGCGTAATTCAGGCGAGGAGAGTAGAGCTTGACTGAGAGAAAATGAAAAGGCAAGCTTTGACTCTAGGAGCATGAGATAAAATGTTCCAAGTACAATGGCAGCTTTTCTCCAGCACAACACTTACACTTTCGTCCAAAATAATAAAATTAAAAACAGATGTAAACCTCAGGAGAGTAACAAAAGTTTTTGCAGAAAGAAAGAAAGAAAGAAAGAAAGAAAGAAAGAAAGAAAGAAAGAAAACTAAGATTATTGTGCAAACTCTGAACTCTGAGTTGCTCCTCTAAAAATGAGTCATGGAAATGACTCTTCTGTTGTGTATTTACCATCTGGTGGATGATATTGCCATGGGCCATGACGTTCATCTCAATTAAATGTTATGTAACTCAACTCTGTAACTGTCATGTGTATCAATATTAGCTCTCAAATATCAACTGGTTTAGCTGAATGACAGGGGAGTTCAAGTGAAAATAAGTCTTGTTCATCAGATAACTTCACATTTATTTCAATCATTTGGGGAAAAAATTGCTTATGTGTTTCCTCTCTGTGACTGGATCATAAGCTTTTACAGATTTGACAGAGCAGTCACATTTCAGCCACTGTGGTTGCAACATGATACTATATCCGCATTTGTGTCCCACTTCGCAGTGCCGGTCTCAACACTTCCTGTGGTTGTTTTTCTGCGATAGTTTCTGACTGTATATTATCATATGAGACAAACATTAATACAAATGAATAGTGTAAATTTTGAGTGGCTGTAGCTCACCAGAAAACTCACTGTAACAAACTTCTCAAGTGTCTTCAAAGCACGTAATGTGTAAGACGAGTACTTGTTTCTTTACATAAATGCTTTAAGTTGGAAAAACCTCAGCTCCAAATCCCCCACTAAGGGACCATGAATGTGTGGTCATGAGATAGCTCTGACTGTGTCCAAAACAAAAGGGCTTCAGAGGAGAGTTATTAGTGACAGTGTTACTCTCAGTGCTCAGCTCAGGGACTCCCGGATCCAGTCTAACTTTAAACATGGACACTCTGTTACCAAACACAGTGCTCGTCTGTAGAAAAAGTAACAGCATGTGGGACAGAGTGACTTTAATTTGCATCACTTTACGCCTCCCTGCATGCCTCTACAACCTCAGACTAAAGCATGTCTGATCATGTACTGTTGGCATATTCTTGTGGCTGTTGTGGAATTTCTCTCTGGTCAAAAAATGAATTCCAAGAAGACCAGACACAGGAATGGGAAAGTAAGAGTGAAAGAAGTAAGGAGGAAATAAAAAAAAGGAAGATTGATGTAGAGGTTGAATTATGAGACACTGTACCTGGCTGAGATCCTGTTGTGGTATGTCCTGGAGAGTCAGGAGGAGTTCGGGGAGGATTCAGGCGCTGGATGCCTTCAGATTAAGCTCCTGGCGGAGGACGGTTCCAGCTGCTCGCTCCCCCCTTCAGCTCTTCTGGATCCTATTCGTCTTTCAGGCCACTTTCAGCCGCAGACGCTCCAACTCCACTCCGCAGCGCAGACAAAAACACAGTAGAGAGGGAAAAAGTTGTTTAGCCTTTCTTCCTGTGGATGATGTCACATCCTTACTTTGTCTACTGGGCTCAGCTGTCTGAGTGTGTGTAAGTGCCCTAATGTGGGTGTGTGTATTGAGGACCTATAAACTGAAAGAGGGAAAAAGGCCTTGCCAAACCCCCACTCGGTCCTCCTTCTTCTTATCCTTTTTCTTCCCCTTTTTCCTCACAGATCAGCCAGCCCACTTTGTCCCTCCAAAGCCCAGCCCTCTGGTAAAAGGTCCTGAGAAAACCACCCCTCCTCTTAAGCCACATATAGGACAGAGAGAGCAGAATGATCCCACAAATATTTCTGGATACTTGGCAGTCCATGCCCCTCTTTTTATGTCGTCTCAGTAACATATCATTTAAATTCTTGACCTTTTTAAAGTAATTGACGTGGAGCTCAGGGCTTACCCTTAAAAAGAAAAAGTTCTGCTATCCGGAATATGTGCTTCAAAGTAAAAATATCTACATCAGAAGAATTACCAAACAAGGTTTGTTGAGGGAAAAAGTTTATTTCCTGGTGCTGTCAAGGGGTTGAGAGTTTTATGACAGCTGCCTTGACTGTTCCCTTTGTCTTCAAGGTAAATGAGTGCCACAAAATGAAGAGAGAGTCTGTTCCTGGAGTGTTTTGTCACCAAGCCGCAAGAAGAGGCTGTCTGTTTGTGCTATCACTCCCTCCATAATTAAAACTAATTCTTGTTGCTGATGGTCTCATGTGCTTTTGTTGGTCTAAAGAGGCAGCAATATTAGTTTTGCGTTGTTTTGCTTCCACCTTAAAACTCCTTGTGGGATCTAAAAGATCTGTAATAGTGGTGGAATGAACATTTTACTAAATAATGGAGACAGAAAAATATTTAGCTTAATAACATACTCAGACAAAGGAATTTCAAATGTCTGTCCAGCCATCTTTAATGATTAAAACATTGAATAAAATCAAGGTAAACATTTCAAACAAAATTATTAGAATTCATGTTTGAAATGAAAATATTCAAGATTTCTGTAGCCATAAACATGTTTCTAAGAAATTTTTAATACATTTAGGAAACATAATAGTGATATCTGCCTTGTAAGGGCTGATGCCAATACTATTACTTTAAAAAAAAAGTCATTAATTGGCCAAATTTATCAGCCATCAGTTTAATCAGTCTTTCTCTATTCTCTATAGTCATGTCATATTCTCTAATGTGTTTTATTAAACTGCAATAATCCAGTCAGTCGGTAAGATTCCCCATTTCAACTCCCTCCAGTGGAAACTGATGCACTATGATCTCAATTAGTTATTCTACATTTCCTCCCACTTATCATTCATAAGTAATGTGATGTTCTAGTCTCCCATCACAAACTAACAGGATGTTTTATGTTTTGGTAGAAGGAGAAAAGACTAAGCTTATGTGATGAGCTCTTTTATTTTGACATATAGAAAGTTGTCATTTTCTTTGTGTATAAAAACAGGCATCATGTGCTTAGACTTAATCTAAGACTGAACTGCAATATGAGGATTTTTTTTTCTATAATATTTATATGAATTTCCCTGTGGGGATTAATAAAGTTCTTCTTATTCTTATTCTTATATGCATTAATTTTGTATGCAATTTTTTTTTAGGAATAGGTGTGCATGTTTGTATATTGCATGCAGATAAAAACATATTATGCATTATATGTACACATGAATACATGCACTTCATGACAAACTTAATGATATCAGTGACTCAATGAAGATATATCCTACTGACAGTGTCCCTGAGCTGCAGTGGCCACTTACGTCCACAAGGAGTCACTACTACTGTTAAAATGAGGGCTCATTTTGACACAGGGTTATAATCGGTATTCAAAAGGCGTTCCCCCTTTTCAGGCCAATAGGTGATTATCCCCTAGAATAAGAAAATGATCATGTAACATGTGAATGTTGTTTTAATCATGTTTAAAGAAGAGAATGAGTATTCAGAGTCATTAAAAAAAAGCCTTATCAGCTTATTTTAAGTGCTCTGTCAGCAGGAATAGACCTGTTTTGGTTTTCCCCATACTACGCTGCTCAGGATTTTCAGAAACTCCCAACAGTGTCGACATACACAGGAAAGAATGAATGAATCACCGTATGACAAAATAGGCCTGATGCTGCCCTCTGCTCTAGTTTTGGTCTCAGAGTTAATGTCCTCATCAGGAAATGTAGCTCAAGAGGAAGTGGAACCAGTTGGGCCTTTTGTCACTTTTAATCGTCACCCTGCATAGTACTCTGTCATTACTCACCTAAACCGCGTGGCCTGTCGCTTGGAGCCATCAAACTGGCAGGACAAATTCCTCACAAAGAACGAGCCAAAACAAACTCACAAACCTGATAGTTTGGGGTGAAATGGTCAAAATGCATTTTTTTAAGTTAAAAGAGATATAGAGCAAAAAAGTTCAAAAAGAAAAGTGCATATTTAGCATCTTATTATTGTTTATTATTATTAAAACATAAGAAATAAAGTCTGCTGCCTAAAAATATTATGCAAATTAAACGTTTGTTTGTGTAATTTTGAAGAGAATGTCTTAAATATTTCTGTGTTGAAATCACCTATATCTGTCGTGAAAAAAGTCACATGTTGCTGAAGGGTGTGAGGGCTCTGCGGTTCAAAAGTTCCCCTGAAGGTCTCAGGTAAGGGAAAAATATAGAGTACTTAGAGGTTGAAAATCTACTTCTTTACATGTGGATGATTTATGATCAGAGCTGGACAGGTGCGTCACATTGTGCTTCAACTTCGCTGCAGGCTTAACGCTCAACCTTAGCCTCTCTTTTTGGTTGTGGGTAACCATTAGAACCTACTATTAGAGTACCATTTCACTTTCCTACAAGCTACATTTGTTGTATTACTTCAAGAAGTCCTTATCAGATCTGTTTTGTCACGTTTACAATGTGTTAAAAACACTGACACACCTGTGCGAAGGAATGGTTTATGTAGTGCAGAGAAAACCTGTTGCTGCTGATGCTGTTTGACATACATGAACAAGCAGACCCTTATCTTGTGCAGAGATCGAGCGCTGTCTCTGAATAATTACAGACTGAGTAAACCTGAATGAAAACAGTGTTGTGAGAGTGATATCATCTTTTTAAACTACTTGGTAGAAGATAAGAGCTGACAGAGACATGAAAATAAGAGAGGCGTAATGGTTTATGATAGTAGTCTAACATGACATCTTTAAAACTAGTTATTTGTATGATGGCAAAATTGGTTTACTCCCATTTGACCTTGATTTTGTACATATTTCTTGACTAAAATCCTTGGTATCCTGTCTTATATTTTTTTATATTTGTAGGGGAGAGTGGGGTAAGTTGAGCCACTCCCTGTTGCTTGGAAATGGTAAAACAAATTGATCATGTGACTAAATATTTAGGAGATGGGCATAAATTCACGGAGTCTGCGAAGATTAGAAGCACATGGGTGAAGGGGTTCGACGTTTAAAAAAAAAAAAAGTCTGTCATAAGTTTTTAATAGAATTGTGTTCAGACCAAAAAGATCATTTTGAATTTGTTTTATACATCAATTGTGGTATTTATGAGCTACAACATGAGGTCAAAAACTGAGCATAAAAGTCCATCATTTTAGCTCAGAGGACTAATAAAGTCATCATAGTAGTTCTGGGGTAAGTTGATCCAGTGGCTCCACTGAGAAGGTAAAGAAGTCTGATGAGAGGATCAGAGTTTCAGTTCAGATTGTTGAAATGTGTTACTTTTTCTTTTAAAAAATACAGCTGTGAATGTTCTGAATCATTACATAACAGTAGTAGAGATGCGGCTCAACTTACCCCGCTCCTATGGTCAACTTACCCCACACATGGGGTAAGTTGACCATAGGAGACCACTTTTTTCATGCTATATTATCAAGACAGTTATGTTTACACTCATTCTGTTGGTTTGCAGGGATGCACAACATCTTGAAATATATGCAGACACACTAGTTAGAGACAAAACTATGATTGCCTTGATACAGTGAAAAATGGCTCATCTTACCCCACTCTCCCCTATATCAACTCTGTAGACAACAAAGTTGATGTTAAACCTATTAAACTCGAGAGTTTCCTCCCATAGCCTAATTTGAATTAGATAAAGCAAACGAAAGGGGTAAGTGAGCCACCTTGTCTGACTTTTAAACGATGTTAATGTTTGACACTGACAGTTTTCAGGATTACGTCCATATTAGGCGACCAACTCGAATCAGACCAGAGAGATGACTCCACCTTTTTCCAGTCACACTGAAGGGCTGGGTCACAATCGAAGAAAGATTTAAGCGGAAAGGAAGAGGAAGCGGGGCGGACAACTTCACACACGAGTTCAGCGACCTTATCTGACTGCTCTCGGTAACCTCCACAGGTTGGTTTTTTTGTAGCTCTCACTTGCGCCTCAGAACTGTTTTGATGCATTTGGACAAGTTATCTGGTGACTTAATGGAGCTTAGCTAATTTCAGGTGGGGGCTGTTGAGGGGGGGCGCGCGCCATCTATTCACGCGGAGTAATATTTGACTTAAGGTGGCTTGACGAATTGTAAGTGTTTTTAAGTTAAGCATCATAAACCTAGTTCTAAGACCATACTTTACAGTGATCTTACGTTTTTTTTTAAATTGTGGTAGTTCACTGCTGTTTTTATCGTTAATAAGTTATGCGTAACCCTTGACCTCGTGCCCGCTGTCATGCCCTAAAGTGTGTCCCCTGGCTGGTTCAGTTAGCTTAGAAATGTTGGGGCTGTTGATGCTGTCGCCCGGTTTCTGCACGCCTCTTTAAAGTTGTACCTGTGCTGTGGACAAAGAGCTCCTTGACAGCCGGGGTGTTGTGCCGTAGATTGCACCCCTGCCGTAGAACGCACCCCCCTGCATCCCCTCCGCTCGTTAGCTTCTTAAAGTAGAAGAAAATGGTCTCATATTTAGAAAAAACAAGAGTATTAGATCATGACAACATGTCAAATGGAGCAGCAGACCTTTGTTCTGTTTTTATGTGTCTCAAAAATGCACATATAGAGGTGTACTTGGGTGTATAAACTGTACAGTAAGCTGTCAAGTTAGAGAACATTATATTTTCGGGACAGCAATATTCCGAGGGCTATTGTTTTAGCTTATATGAATAGCCTGAATGAAATTATTAAAAGCACACGCTTTTGAATCCATCCAATATAAGGAAAACTGTATATTATCTCGCCTTGATATGTACTTTCAGTACCGCGCTCCCGTCAGGGGGTGCATTCTATGGCAGGGGTGCATTCTATGGCATAACACCTGACATCCTCCGCACAGGGGGTGTTGTAAATCTGCTCGTTTGAAGGTAAACTGTCGAAGTATCGTCCATCTTTCTCGACTGTCTGTAGCTGTCATAAGGTAGACTTTAGGGCTACGACAGGAAAATTACAAACTGTTGTGTGTAATGTAGCTACATGTTCAAACAAGTGGGCTGAATTGATTTGAATGCTGATATACAACGTCAGCCCTTTTTGGAAAAAAGTGAAACCAAGCTGCTGAACAGTAAGTTCGACAAAAATGCTTAAAGGTTTGAGGATATCATATATTAATACAATTTGTGTTTTTAGCATTTACATATTCTTTAAAAGCAACAAAGCATGTAGGCTATGTTAAGGGTCACTCAATGTTGTCGCATGATATTAGTTTAAGACAAAGTTCTATACAACCATAAGTTGAATCTAAATTATAGCCCATATTGTCAAATGGAATCATTCCTCATGATCCTACTTAAGTTATGATTCACGTTCCTCTATCACTGAATTTAGCAACATAAGACACATCAATGTCTTGCTCAATTTCCCACTTAACTGCAATTCACTACAAACCACGCTCCATTCATGCACAACAACACATTGGTGTAATCATAGTTTGAGGCTAAAATTGTAGGTTTTCACCTCCATAAAATGTCAGATATGATCAGGATGTTATAGTACTGCATTTTAAAACTAGCGCTTATCATGCCAACCTGGCAGTCTGTGTACTGTGCATCAGTATATTGCACAAATCAAACAAGATAGTGATAATGCAGAGTATGTTGCTGCACCCTCATACTAGCTGGCCCTCGTTTATGCTCCCATATCAGATGATGGTCTACGATGGTGCATTATGGTCCATTTACTCTGAGTAGACATGTAAACACTGGCAGTCACTAGCAACTGTGGGACTGAGACAAAGGCGCTCAAGGCCAAACTGTCCAGGTGCAGCTGTAGCAGTGTAAACACAGCAGCAGCATTTCAGCAACATCTTTGCATGGAGGTCAATAGTAGAAATGACTATAAGGCAAATGTAGGCCCGCTGATCGCCCAGTGGAAATCATACTAGCTTACTTTTACACATTCTCTACTAAAGGAAACTGTTGCCATTTGAGGTTTGTGTGTTTATGCAGCAGTTCTGCACACAGTTGACCACAGTCTTCCCCTCCTAGTCACTGAGTAAAGTTATTTTAGTAGGTAAAGGAATATGTAAGTCACACTGTTTTCCCTCACCACACTCTTCAATCTAACGTGATGTTTACATGTAAGGGCACCTTGTCAAATCACCATGTCTGACATATCCAAGTCTGAGTGACTCATTGCAGTGAAGCAGAAAGAAAGATTCTGTCTGTGAAAACTTATTGCAGCTCTGACTTAACACCAGGGAGTCGGCAATGGGTGTTTGAACATTGTTTAACTCACTGGCAGCTTTAAAATCATCAGCCCAGCCCTTTGCTTGTGGCGATATTTACTGTAGATCTCATTGTTGTAAGTTGAGTGAAAGGTAATGAAAGTTAGTAAATGTCACAGTGCATAAAAATATGTCTGAGCTGTTATGTAGGTTAATGCAGTAATCTATAAGGCTTGAAGCTGTCTTATGTAAGACATATGTAAGGCATGCAGACTTTCTGCTCCAGATGCTGTGGCGGTATACTCTTTAAACGGCGTGACCTTCTTCAGCTCTCTTTGAACGGATCACTAGCTCGCTGATCTTTAAGGAGGCAGTTTGTAATTCATACTTTAACACTATTGTTTTGTTTACCTATGGGTGGAGAAGCTGCCATACCTGACAATCTGCATTTCATTAGGGTAAATGTTATGACATTTTTGGGGGGTAAATTAAGGACATTTTTATCTACAACAGCTACTCAGTTCTTGGCTTTATATAATTTTATGCACTTCCAAATTTGACATGTGCAACTTTTTTAACACAGTCAGCCCCCCCACCTTAAAACATTTGCATGGTGTGAGTTTAGAGGAAGAACTGACTAACTGTTCATTAACTGGCCCTCCCGTTCACTGATAACACCAAAAGGTGTAATGACATTGATCGGGGCGTGGCTCAACTTTCAACATGCTGGAACCCATTTGAACCAGTGCATCATGGCCTTAATGCACCTTTGCATGAACTTTTAATTCTTCACTGGTACAAATAAGCAGCTCTCATATAAAGACTTAGTGTTAAATAGTATACTTTAGTGCTATTTATAACAACAAACTTTGATGCATTAATAACATTTAACTAGTTCCTGCTCTAAAACCAGTAGCAACAGTTTATGTAGCTGGTTTAAACATCAACGGCTTTGTTCCTCTTTGTGATGGCCTCAGATAACAAGCTGTTTATTTTGACCAGTATGTCTGGAAAAGTTGCTTCACATTCAGGCTGAGGCAGTCACAGATTTACTTTTCTTACAGATGTTGAGTTTTTTTTATGTATTTATTTTTATTTCTACAGGCTTGTCTGCACAATTAAGAAGTGTCAAAGCCAGTCAGGTCAATTATCTGACTAATTGTCATTTCAAACAGATGCTATATGAGTTTTTGGAAATGTAGAGCAAAGGTCACATGTTAAAGAAAAGGTTATTACAGATTTGACTTGTGATTGACTTTGGTGCAGCAAGCCTTTGCTTTGTAACTGATTAGTGTAGTGAAAATGGGCATTATCATATTTTGCACATTTTTGCACAAGTTTTGCATGGATCTAACAAAGGGAAGTTCTTGCTGTCGTAGCATTTGAGGTATTCTTGAAAGACATGGATTGTGTCATTCCATTCATGGTTAAGTCTTATGTAACACCAACCTGCCTGTCAAGTCTATTTTACACTTGCTCCATTTATCAAGTCTGAGGGTGTTCTGTTGAAGAGTTTGAGCATATTATTGTGTGAGGCACCTGCAGGGGCAGACCGTAGACTGGACCTGAAAAAAACAATCACTGAGGGGAAGTGAATTGTTTGCACTTGAGTAAATTTGTTCAGGAGTGAGTAAAAGAAGAAGTGGAAGAAATGTACAAACGGGCCTGATATTGTAGTCCAGGTGGAAAACAAACAAACTGCAGAGGTCAGTTTCCTAATTGACATAAATAATTTGTTGTAATTTTGCATCATAGTCACCGTTGAAGTGCAGAGTGTTTTTAGTGATTCTGCAGGACCCTTCTGTTCACTTCATTTCATTTTCTCTGCACTATATGGTTTTAGCTACACACCCCTCAACATAATCAATATGATCAGACAAAATTTGTACTTTTTCCAAACCATGTGAGGCATTAAGACTTTTATCTGGTGATTTGGACATTATTTCTTGTGGTTTCCCCAACATGACATTACCCCGGCCATTTTAGAAGACCTGTGAAATCGTGATTTATCACCAGTGCATAATAGAGGAAATGAAATAGGCCTAGAAATAGGAACAGCCACAGCAACATTTCTCTCTTTTTTTTTAAATGTACAAGCCAAAAAAGTAAAAGTAAATATTCACCAGAATTAATAGAGCAGCTTTGGGAATCAACAAAGTTTTTCTTCGTCACCTTTGACCTACATTACTTTTCTTAGCACTCTGTTAAAACTTCTTATGCCAGAAATAGATTATCTGATTTTGGCTAAACTTGTAGCCTGTTGTTTGTCTGAGCAGTTAAGTCCATGCCCTGTTTAACTCTAATGTGCACAAGTACAGTACAAAGCTTATACCACAGTTGTGAAATAAACTCAATTGTTTATTAGTAAGGTCACATTTTGCTTGTAGCTCAGGTAGGAGTCTGTATTTCTGTAGCTTTCTTTTAAAATAAAAGATTCAACCATGCAATTTAACTCCCTCCATGCTCTCTGCACCTGCAGTTGTTTGTGGCGTTCTGCCTCAGTCTGAGCTCATTCATGAAGATGCAGACCTCCATTGTCGTTTGTGGAAAGTTCCAGAAATCTGAGACGTTGGTGGCTGAGACCTTCAGAGGTGACTGAGAAGGAGGGAGGGGCGTGAGGAGAATGAGGCCAGTGTTGAACTGCAGGTAGGGGCGATACTGCTCCCCCACCTCCAGCTTCACACCCACCCTCACCCAAACACAATCATGTCCCTAGGCTAGGCTAGTTCTGCTACATTCCTGTGCTGGAGTGGGTAGTAACAGTTACTACCATTTACACAGTCAGTCGTAAAGCTTTTTTTCTTAAAGAGCTTTTTGAAACGGGTGCCGAGAGATCAGCATGATTCAGGTCACACTAGAACTCTTCAGGGTTTTACAAACTTAAATGTAAATGTTTTCATATGAATAAAGGTGCAAATGAGTTTGACGAAGATAAGAATAACTATTTCATCCCTGAAGGGAAATTCTATAGACTAGACTGTAAATATAAATAAACTAGACTATGCTAGACTTTGATACAATTAAAGGTTGATGACAGCAGTAAATAATCTGATTTAATATAAGCATTTTACTTAGAGTGCAGTTTTGGCACAGCCTGCCCCTCGATTAATGTGACAAAAACTGTGACAGATGGATGTTTTAATGATGATATAGGAATTAATCACGCTTCTAAAACACCCAGGCAGAGACCAGCTAATAAGAATTTAAACTCTTATCTAAAACATCAACAAATGACAGTGTAATCACAGTGTAAGCTTATACATAAAAAACAAACAGTATATCAGATTATATGATAATGCGTCGTATTGTATGTCCTACTGTCTTAAACACCACTGTGCTTGTTGGATGTTGGTTTCACATCTGCACAGTTCAGAGCAGGCTGTATTTCATTATTCTGATGGAGATCCTTCACATTCAAAGTTCAGAAAGTAGTAACTCTGTTTTAACTGAGATGTCACAGAGCATACTGTCATATAAACTGAGTATGCTCTGGTAGTCTAGTTTATTTATTTTCCATTAAAGGCTTCTCAAGGTGATGAGTTGCAGAACAAGTTTTGATTAGATTAAGTTGTTTGAGGTTGGCATGTGTCTGAATGCAGCTCGTGTTAATCTCAGTTTTTATCTTGAGTCGCTGTTATGTCAGGTGCATCTGGACTGAGAAGACCTTAAGCTTCAGGTGACAGCGGAAGAGCATGCCAACTCATGCCATTGTTTTGACTCGACTTAGTTTGTCATTGCGTTCGCTTGTTTGGAATGTGTGTGTAACTTTTTTTAACATCCATTCAGCCAATGATGTTTCATTCTGCTTGGCACCGAGTCAGTCTTCAGACTGATGGTGCGGCGTTACAAGATTTTTGGCTTACTTGTTTTTAAAAGTCAAACAAAATAAAAGCTTACTTAAAAAAATTAGACCTGTGCTGCAAAAACATTAGCAGACTGAAAATACATTTGTGGATTATGGTACAAGTTTCAGACCAAGATTTTAAACCACTGTGACCTGAGGCGAGCCATCAGTCTAATCTTTTCACAGCTGAAGGACTCCACTGCCAATCTTTAGTACAAGGACAGATTATTTCCCATTTATCATTGAAGAAAACAACACAAAGTTCTCTGAACAGCTTGACCTGAGATGGGTACAGCTGCAAGGCCTTGGCAGCAAAGTCAGACTCCTCACACCAGTGTGTGATGTAATGGATGAAATTCAGTGAGGCCTGAGGCTCACTTCAGAAATACAACTCCCATTTATGCTCATGTGTTTTAAAATTTGACCTCAAAAGAACAAAAGTTTGGATACTAGACGGGTAACCGAATCCAGAGATTGAATACGTTGAGACAGCAGTGTGTCAAATGTGGTCACATTGTTAAGATTTACCTCGTGCATTTTAGTGAAAGGTGGAGCTATGAAGTTAATTGATTTATAGTCTACGCTGGGCAGATTCTTTCAGTTTGGCAGTGCGCCCGGGAAGCCAAATGTATCAGCAAACTTTGTCTAGTCTCTGGAATTTTACCTCACAAACACTGTGCACAAAAAAACTGTTCAAGGAAGATAATAACCCGCCTTTCATTTTTTACGTAGAGTCTGAGGAGTTAGATGGGTTATTCTCTTACTGGAGTGATTATTTTCTGCTATTTGTGATCTGTTATTTGAAGTGATTTTTGTACTTTCACTTTATTAATTCAACAGTTAGAAATTATTTTTCTCACTCTTGCCATAAGGATGCATAAAAAAGTCTTCTTGATAATGATAAAAATTTCCATTCATTTGACTTTATTTTCTAATTTGGGAAAAACCAATAATTCCAATTAGAGTGAGTTTACCTCTCTCCCAGTTAGTGTCCACGCCTTTCAGGAATCACCCATATCAGCAGTCTCTTTAGAAACCACCATAATTGGTATTTCCGTCTGTGTTGCGTCGCTGGTTTTCGAGTCGGGGTGTTGGTTCTGCAGGATGAGATGACTATCATATTTGAAATGGCTCTGTCAGCAACTATATAGTAGAGTAACATGATCTATTTCAGTGTCAGGTGTGTTAAGGTATGTGGAGGAAGGGCTAAAATGCACTTGATGAGTGCTGCCACCACTACCACCGGGGGCAGAGTGACAGGTAAAACCAGCCCGGTCAATCAGATACAAAGTTACGCTGAGGAGAAGTTGAAGCATGACATCACTGCTCCGAGGTTAACAGATGTTTCTGATTACAAACGTCATTTATGAAAATATGCTTTAAAAAGCAAATACAGGATCCCCCCTGCTGCTGTTTGTTTACGTTTGACTGCAAGTCTCTCCAAGTGTGAATACTGTTGTGTACATTGATTAGAAATTATGAGAAGGTTGTCCCATTCAAAAATCTGAAGAAAGCAGAAATCATGACTAGATCCTATTGCGCTGTAGTTCTCTGTATTATGTTCTCTTGAGGCTATTTGCCTGCATCTTTGGACTTAATGATCAAAAGGCAGCAAATCTAACAATGACTAATATTGTTACTGAATTATTGGTCAGACACCTTCATGTGAGCCACCGTGAGATCTGAGTTACTACTTTTTAAACAGAGCAGCACCTCCTTACAAAGCACACTTGGAAGAATTGAGAGTGATTACATGAGTCATCTCATCCAATTGCAGCAATTATATTTGTCTGCTATTATGATAACTCTACAATCCTGTGTAAACATCAGGGTTTGGGACCAGTAATGATGCTTCCCAGCTTTTCCGTACACTAACAGTTCTGCTGCTTGTAAACTGTATACGTGTACTTTGATTTGAAGTATATAAAGCAGGGATTTGTATAAGGGTAGTCTTTAAGTAGCAACAGTTGAAAAGCTCTGAAAGATAATTGATAAAAAACTGAAATGAAACCAAACTTTTCCTGACTCGTTTCAAACATTAGAATCCTGATAATAACTGAACAAACAGCGAGAGATGGAAGCGGGTTTTGGTTAATGGGTGTCGGCCGGGTAGAGAGCCAATAAATGCATAACAATGGCCCCCTTTACAACAACAGAGTGTCCACTGATTTCTCGCCCGCTGCTGGTGAATAATATTATCAGCCCACCCCTAACAGAAAACTTCGAGGGCTGCTCCACTGTTGTGTGTGTGTGTGTGTGTGTGTGTGTTTTCTATGCGTGTGTTTCAGGAGGTTGAGGGTGTGGCCAGGAGGGTAAAAGAGGGGGAAACTGCAGCTTGTTACAGTCAGGGCGGCGGCTTCAAGGCAGCGAGTCGCATCTTTCTTTTCAGGAGTTTGCCAGTGAGGGTTTAAACAGGGGCCATCTCACTCTCACCCCAGTTGTACTCCTGCGCTCGCCGTACACAGTGCTCGCTCTTGCTCTCGCTCTCTCTCTTTCTCTCTCTCCTCCCCTCCCTCTCCTTCTGTGAGCGAGTTATTCATCCACTGTGTGAGTCAGGGAGGGTGGGGATTTGGAAGACTTCTGTACCAGTCACACTTTGTCAGTTAACTTTCTCTCTCTCTCTCTCTCTCTCTCTCTCTCTCTCTCTCTCTCTCTCTCTCCTCACTCTCTCTCTCCTGCTCTCTTTCTGCCTCTCTGTCTCTGCTCTGCTCTTCTCTCTCTTCGCTGCTGCCTCAGCCTGCCCGCCCGCCCGCCTGCCCGCCTGTCCTTGTAATTCACGGAGAAGCTTTGCCAAGCTCCGAACGAGGAATCCACATTGGATTTGATGATTTAAGGGGGAAATTCTAGTCTTAAAAAGGTAAGTTGCTCATTAAGGTGAACTATCTTGTGTGAAGTCTGCCCTCACTCTGGGCAGCTCAGGGTTTTTTCCATTTTTTTTTTTTTCCCAGGGGAAAAAGTTTCTTTTCTTTTGGTGTCAAAGGGTCTCTTGTTGCTCTTGTTGGATATTTCCTTTATATGGAGGACACTTAGCCGCCTGTTTGACTTACTGGGTTCCTGGTGTCAACTGATTTTTGTTCATCATTAACCTCTACTCGGTGAGCGTTAGCTCCGTTTTTCCATCTCTATGATTCATTGACACAGCCCTCATAGGAAATAACCCCCCTCCCTTTCCACCCTTTCCTTTCTTTCCCAATCGTTCTTTTTAATCTCCCTGTTAGATGTCAACCAGTCACATCCTTTCACAGGTTTGCTTAGATTGAACGAGTGGATATGGTTGGACAAACAACTTGTTTTAGTGTCAAAAAACTTTATTTTGCCGAGACACTGGGAAGGACTGTAAATCATGAATATTTCTCTGGAGAGGGGGACAGACGTCATCGTCTTTGGTTAGGCTGGTGTTTTAAGCAGTTATGCGTATACAGCTTAATTGCTTCACTCTGTCATGGGGATATTACAGCAGCAGACGCGTTGTGGACCCCTCACACAGTTATGAGGAAGTTCCTGTCCCTGTGTGGAATTACTGTAAGCAATATGAACTACAAGAACCAGAAGAGTATGGAGTCAAGCAGAGGTTGATTCAGACCACTTCTAGTCCAAATTGTGTGGGAATGCACGGGCCTTTTAATTTGGTCGAGGTTTACAGCTGCAACGTCTGAGGTCTCTGATAAAGATATGCTACTAGCCTAGAGAAATGGCACTTTGTCAAAGCAGTGAGGTGCATTAATCTTGTTTCTGTCTCTTTAAAGGAAAACTTTTCTTTTTTTTTCTTTTTTTTTTTGGCTGAACTGGTTTGATAAAGACTCATTCTCATTTCTTTGTGGACTTCCAACTTACCTGGGTCTGAGGATAAACAAATATATATTGTCTCTTTTTGTTCTTCTTAGTAATGTCATGATCATAAGACTTACCACCCTGACAGGCACACTGAGTTAAGTCATTATTCAATATTCCCCAAAAATATCACGCCAAGTGAGTCACATGCTGCATATTCCATCAGTGCAAACATGAAAACTGGGAGATTTAGAGGACCTTTGCTCTAAGTTTTTGGATTTGTGAATAATCACCTTATGCAGTGTAACTTTTGTATTCGAAAGAGTATGTGAACTTTAGGAGTGGCTCTTAGTCCTAATAAAACTGGATCTATCAAGAACTTCTTCTAAACTTTTCCTAGATAACTCAGAACTTTTTAAACCGAGAAAAACTCCCGCACACTAAATTGAAGCCATGTGATGCCACCACAAAATACAAGCTCACTGTGTAACCCAGGTATGACCACTAACCCGATCAGGTGATCGTTTAACTGTTCAGCATTTTTCCTCAGAACAAGAGCGGCTCTTCACCACAGTCATGATGACATTCTTGTTGAAAAGTGAGGTCCCTGCCGTAACGCCTCATCAGCTGTTCATAAACAACCACAGCTTTTTGTGTAAGAGATTTTGAAATGTCTTGTATCTGATCTGTTTCACAACTCCACCATTTTCCACTTTGGGGGTGATAGCACTGAGGCCGGCAAGAAGACGAAACTCCAGCTGAAGTCGGTGTCTTTTTCCATTATGGGCTCAACAGGAGGGGGAAATCAGTCAGTGTTGCCAAGGGCAGCTGTCACATATTGACGAGAGACGTTGAACTCAATCACCTGGAGGTTTAACGAGGAGAGCGACCAGGAGAGAAACCGAGGCGTTGACACGGCCTTGTGTATAACGGTTGAAAAGCGGAGCTAAGATGAGAAAACTGCAGGAGATATCTGTCAACAAAGGGAGCAGGAATTTCCACTCTGTCAAATGTGAACAATTCTTACTGTAGATCTGTGCTGTTACAAAACTACTTCAAATGACACAAAATGTATAAAAGTTACGGTGAAATACAGAAAACTTTGTTTTTTCCTTGCAGTAAAACCGAACAAGAAAGGAGATTAACACGGGCAGACAAAAGATTGTTTTGTCGGCTGATTATGTTACGAATGCTAAAGTTCAGTATCAGTTTTTTCCATGTTAAGTAATTACTTTTGAATGGTTTGAGTTGTTCATTGACTTAAAAGTTTGCTGCGATTTTGTGCAACAACAAATTACCAACCCGGATCTTAACTTCAGCTTATACTAAGAAAAACTGCAACCCTTTGTCTCACACTAAAACTGAACTTTAAACTGGAATCTTTTTCTTGCATTTGTCTTGAGAAACACCTGAGCGAACTCCACTCCCAACCCTCCACTCCTCGGCATGAAATTATTAGCTTTTAATTATATTGGCTTAAGGAGGGCCGTTCTTAAGTCCTCAGGCGGTGAAAAACTCACAGCATTGTAAGTTACACACCAAACAATAGCTGCCTCTGGGTCCAGTGTTGTGTGAAGAGACCGCACCCTGCATGTCCTCTACTTTGTCAATACACTTTACAGTTTACACTTGATATGAAAGGCCTTAGTCAACAGAAACGGAGCAGGTCTGAAAACCATAGTAACATTCCTGTCTGCGCGCTGCAAGTTGTGGCACTTTCCATTGACGAAACACTCCACACCTGATTTGTAAAACGAATAGGTCTTAGTTTGCAGTGTTAGTTTTTTTTAAAAGGTGGTTGTTGCCACACCATGAGGGGTCACACATGTTGTTTGAAGTGATTTTGATGTCATTGTTAAGACGTTGCTCTTTGTGTCAGATCCGTTTCAGGGGGAGACTCTGAGGAAAGCATTCTGGTGTGATCTTAAGCAAGGGAAGTGCAGGCCCAACCTGGGTTGAGGCACGTCCTCCCAAAGAGGAGGCTCCATGATTGTCTTCGTAGAACCTCTTTTCTGATATCAGGCCAAGTATGAGGTGTTCGTGTTAAGGCCACGCATCTTGGGATTTTTTTGTAGGAGGGTGTTTGTTTGGGAAAGGATGAGCTGCTCTCATGGTTATTGTGTTTCAGTCCTGCTGAATAAGGAAATGTCTCAGTAGCTCCTCCCGGGATCTCCAGATTCACAGAGACCCGGGCATGAATAAGACGGTTTGTTTTGCTTTTCCCTGTGCAGCAAGTATTCCTGTTATCCATTCTTGAATTAATGCTGTTATCTCTGTTCTGGGAAGCACCACTCGAGGAAATTTCATCTTTATTTATCAGCTATCAAGTTTTCTAGTAAATGATTAGAGCATATAGAGGAGGCTCAGAGTCTTTGTTATACACCTGACTGGATGGACCAGGTCTGAATTTTATCTTCTGCAAAAACCTGCCAAAGTCTGTTTTCTTGTATTGCGTGAATAAATAAGTTAGTCTCCCGGGCTTGATGAAAGGTTTCCTGCTGTTTGTCTTTGATGAAGTCATGCTAACTTTAATCTTGTTGTTTTTTGCAGATAATTGGTCAATAGCACAAGATGGCAAACATGATCCGGGAGATTAAGGAGCTTGGCTCCCATGCCGTGGATATCTATGACTTCCTCTTGGCAGGACTTGGTAGGTGATATGCCTGATTTGGGACAAATTGATCACTCTGAATTTTAGTTATTTACTTAATCTGGTTTGTCATTTTTGTGCTGTAGATCCTCGGTTGAAGGACTATCCACTCATGCAGAGTCCTATTCCTATGACCGCAATATTGCTGTGCTACCTTTTATTTGTACTGTACATTGGACCTTCCATTATGGCCAAACGCAAGCCCTTCCAGCTTAAAGAGGCCATGATAGCGTACAACTTTTTACTAGTGGCACTGTCAGTATTCATCGTCTATGAAGTAAGTTAAAACCACATTTGTTATGCGTTTGATTTTTGCTTGTTGAAACTTTGCATACAGCATGGTTTAATTTGTGTAGCCTGAGATGAATTTGCAACTCATCTAAAGACAACTTCTGTTTATAGATCTGAAATTTAACTTGGATACGATTAATAGTGTCTAAACAAGTTCTTGTTTCTCAGTTTTTGATGTCAGGATGGGCTACGACATATACCTGGAGATGCGACGCAGTTGACACCTCTAACAGTCCACAAGCCTTACGAGTAAGCTCTCATGTTTTATACAAAACCTGGTTAATATAAAGTCAAATTGATTTCAGAAACTTTAAGTCTGCTTTGAAACTAAGACTTTGTCCTCCTCTCTAGATGGTCCGGGTTGCCTGGCTGTTCTGGTTCTCCAAGATCATTGAGCTCATGGACACAGTAAGTTCAGTGTATCTTACAGGATGTCAGTTTTGGTCACCATGGCAGGGCTTTAAGTAACTGATGTCCTCTCCCTGTCAGATGTTCTTTGTGTTGAGGAAAAAGCACGGTCAGATTACATTCCTGCACATCTTCCACCACTCCTTCATGCCCTGGACCTGGTGGTGGGGAGTTGGCTACGCTCCAGGTGAGTTAAGATCACCTAAATCATGTCTTCAGAAAAGAGGAGGATGAGAAATGGAGGAAAAACGGCAGGTGGTGGGTTTAGTGTTTTCACTCCTGGGTCTAAACAAAGTATGATAAGTGCAATTATCAACAGTATCTCCTCTTATTGTAGTGTAAAAACACAATTTATGATGTCTAATTATTAACAATTTCTTCAGTGTCCCTTTGAAACTCCTCATTGATCTTGGCAGCCCTTTCATGCTGTCCGTACTAATAGAACAGTGAATACAGAGCAGAAGTACAGAGTTTGACCCAAAGAAACAAAAACAGGAGAAAATCTCATACTGGCTTTGAAGTATTTGGTGAAAGAGTGAGTTGCACTCTGAAGTTGTAGAGACGCCAAGTCACTCCAGGAGCTATTACATAATGTTGCTTTGAGAAAGCTTGTATAAGCTACTTGTACAGTTCCTCCTTCTGTGTAGTGTGACAAGAAACAAATTAACCAAAGTTCTGTTACAAAGAGAGTTTTTGATGATTTTAAGGTCAGATCTGTGTTGTTTACTCTGCCCTTAAAATGCACTATGTTTGTGATGATTCCCACAGGCGGGATGGGATCTTTCCACGCCATGGTGAACTCTACCGTTCACGTCATCATGTATTTCTACTACGGCCTTGCTGCTGCTGGACCACGCTTCCATAAGTTTTTGTGGTGGAAGAAATACATGACAGCAATCCAACTGGTAAATACACGCCGTATCTTGCAGTTTTGCTTGATAATAAAAGGTAGTTTGCTGCTTATGTAAATATCAGGGCGGTGTAATGTAGATTAAGTGTGTTTATTTATAGCCCTGTTTCAGCTCTGCTCATCTCTCACCAGGGTATTTTAGAAATACCAATGTTAATGACTGTTACAAAGGCAGCACTACAAACTCCTCTACATTTATTTACAGTACACATTGGCTGACTCTTGATTTCCCCCCCCCATCAGATCCAGTTTGTGCTGGTTTCCCTCCATGCTACCCAGTATTACTTCATGGACAGCTGCGACTACCAGTTCCCCATCATCGTCAACCTCATCTGGATCTACGGAACCTTCTTCTTCCTGCTTTTCTCCAACTTCTGGGTCCAGGCTTATGTAAAGGGTAAGAGGCTCCCCAAGCAGGACTTAAAACCGGTTCAGAACGGCACAGCTGTCTACACCAACGGCAAACACCACGAGAACGGCAGCAACCATGGAGCCACGAACGGCACCAGCAACGGCTCCACTCACCACGAGAACGGCAGCGCTCACATGGGCAAGATGAAGAAGGCCTAGGACATCTGGAAGGAAACACCCAAGGAGAATGACCTGGAGGAGCTGTTAAAACTACTACGTGTTCCAAAGATTATTTTGGCTGTGTTTCTTTTCCTGTTTTTTAGTTTTGTATGCAAAACATGGGGAAATGACGTGGTCAATGATTTCCACAGTTGGGGGTCACACATTTGGTTGGTTGGTTTTGTTTGTTTCTTTACGTTGGGAAACCATCCACAAAACACAATGTATGAAGAGAAGATGTTTTGCCCAAGATGTTATCTTCACTGATGTTGCACACAAACTTATATTTCAGTATACACCATACCTTTAAACTTATTTGAGCCCTGTGTCACTCAGACCTCCTTGTGGACAGATGACTGTACAGTTTCTATCAAACTTGAATATACTTTTTGTAAATAGTTTTACAGCAAACAACTAATTGTATTGGTATGCTTTAGACTTTCTAAAACTTATTCAATTGTATTTAAAAAGAAAAAACTAATTAAAATGCCAATAAATTCAGTTTTTAAATTATCTTGTACATTTTGTGTCCTTGACTTCACTTCAGGAGTGACTACTGTTGGCGTAAGTTGTCGTCAAAGTTGTCAGTTTCAGCGGTCAGGTTGTGGAGGGAAGACTGACATTGTTGCTGCTGTGTTGCAACAAAAGAGGGAAAGTATTTGCACTGCTCGCTTATGCCTCACGTCTTTGTCATCCCAAGTATGCGAAGCAAGTAGGAGGTCAACAAGAGCCCCATTCTGCTTTGTTTGAAAAGTTAATCGTAAGAGAAGGAGAGAGCGCATCCCGCAGACTGAATATCTACGCCTTCGAGACTCAGCTGTGAGCTCTGGTTCATCAGGGTCAGAAATGAGGTGATAATTTTATTCTTTGTTACAAGCTGCTCTCAGTATCTACTCAATCCCTCAATAGTCAAAGGCAAATAAACACCTAACACAATATTACAGTGAAAACTGATTTGGTCAGACTGATCATAAGGGAAGAGAGAATTTAAGTATCAAGAAGGGTATAGTGGAAATACAGCACAAGCATAGAGTGTTTTCAGGGTTCCTACACAGTTTCCATACTTTTCCACACCCTACATTTTAGAATTATCTTTGGAAATATTTACTTTTCTATTTTAGAAAACAGTATTTTTTTTCACTGTGGTAGTAGTCTGGAAACCTAAATACTTTTCCATACTTTATTTTTCATTTACCATACTCTTTAGGTCCTGGAAATTCATCAAATTACTTCCATACCTGCGTAGGAACCCTGTGTTTTGCTGTGTTTTCAGGATGAACAAACCATTACTCATTCATCGTTGCAAGTTTAATTTCAGGCTGACATAACATTTCATGAGCAATCAATTAAAATAGATCCAGTATGAAAACATTCTTCAGGCATTCATTCAGTGTGCATCAAATTGCTGCAGCTTTTCTACATACAGAACTTCAAGTCATTCTCTTTTTCTCTTTGCTTTAAGGTTGCAGGACCGAATCCAGCACCTATATTAAAGGTTATTTCTGTATGGGGAGGGTTTATTGAATCAGTGAATGATATGACGCTACAAAGTTGCTACTACTGTACAGTGCAGTACCCTGATCTGATGTTGTGTTCTAGGTGGCATGCGTACCCAGATGGTCTGCTGCGGGGCAGCGTGAGATCAAAAAACCACTAAGAGTCAGACCACTTCTGTCTATCTGTGAGTGGGTGAGATGGAAGCAGACCTTGGATGTGGTCTGGTTCGCCCTTTGAATACTTTTATTGCCCTGAAACGGATGGCGGCACTGATGAGAAGTGCCAGAGACAGAGTAGTGGTCAGGGTTAAAAATCTGTTTTGCACTTTTAAGTGATGTTCTCCAGGATGTAAAAGATAAGCTCCATCACTATAGGCTCATCTCCTCGTTTGCGCCCTCTGCTGTGTATGACAGGGATCAGCACGCTATCCAGGGCGTTGAGGTACTGAGCTGGGAGGGGCTGCCCGTTGCTGCCAGCCACGAATCCCACCTGGAATCAAAACAAATTAATAATTACTTTTTATGGAGTCACACCCATGAGCTTGTTTGTAAACGTTGAGTAACATGAGTCACACATCGTATCCTGCAATTTGTTATCAGAGTAATTGCGATTGATCGAGTGCCTACCAGAGTAAAAGCTGGAACTACACTATGATTTGAGATGGTCTTGAACTTGAAATGTAGCCGTCTTTGTGTGGTAGAGGTCAGTAAGTGACATTTTGCCTGAAGTGAACCACATAGTGAGGGCATTTTGACCTTTTAGAGCTCTCTTCATGATGTTGCCCTCTTATCAAAAGGAGATAAAACGTATCTGATGTCTTCAAGGCTTTTACCAGCCTCAAATCTTTGAGACCTTGAGACCTTGAGGCATTGTGACTCAGCTTTCCTATACTAAATATCTTTTCTAACCTCTTGAGATTCAAAAGCGACCCGCAGCCCGAGTTTGGCCATCCCGTCCTCTTTAAGCAGCTTGAGATGTGGACACAGCGCCAAGCAAAACGCTCGAGCGATCCTCTCAGTTAATCGGTTATGTTCTGCAGAGTCGGTCAACCCTCCTTTGGGATGGTTTCCTTTTTGAAGAAAGAAAACCTGCGCAAAAATACACGGAAATGTAAAGAATAGGGGGATTCAAATAGACCGATATTGATAACTGAAGCAGATCATAAAATGTACTTCTGTCCAGCGGATGATCTTTCCGTTTTCTTTGTACTCTGATTTCTGGAACATCTTCACACTGCTGATTGACTCCATGGATTTCCCATCAACGGGACTTATAACTCTAATGGACACAAACACATGTATGAATAAACCACAGGTTGTTATGAAGCTCAGATATAATGGGTTTATGGTTGATCAGCCCCTCAACATTTGACTATTCTACTCAAAAGGCTCAGTAAAATATTCAAAAGGTTGTTTTGCAGTATGTCTATAGTATCCGCCTTTATTTCTAAAGCTGCCACATGAACTTCAAACAGGAAGGAACACTCACCCCTTGTTCACAGTGCATTTCTCCTCCACCCACTGTACACAAACAAGCTCCTGGCTGTCTGATTGGTCAAGCCGCCCACAGGTGACGGTGTAGTCTTTCATCTCCCGGAGTGACCGCCGAAGCTCTGCCATGGTTTCCACAGTGATCTGAACCATTAACCCATCTGAGGGAGAGGGGGCAGCGATACAGGAGAAACGCACACATACCAAAACACACAGACATCAACAGAGAAACACACACACACGCATACACTCACATGCATCAACATGTACACACACCTGGACAAACAGTCTGTTATAATGTACACAGACACACACATACAAAGATCAACACGCTCTGAATAAACCAGTTTTGAAGCAGCCAGGTTAACATGCACTACTTCAAGTAAACAATGAATCTCCTGCAAGTGGAGGAAAAGTCGATGTCAGCACGCCTCCTTTCTGATTCCACATCCTACCTTCGACTATACTGGACTTGGCGAGGTATCCTGCAGACGCTTTCAGTGCACTACTGAATATGAAAAAGCATGATCCAGTCACTGTAAAACAGACAGGACAGAGAAAAATAAGGCTCTTTAGAAAGCAGCTGTGCAAGAGTTCACCAGAAAAAACAATCATGTAGTGCCATCTAGTGGTATAAAATAGAAGGTTCAATCCAGTGGGCTCTTAAAACCTTTAGTTCTCCTGTCATCTCTTAATCCAGTTCTGTTAAAAAGTACTTCAAGTGCCATGTTTGATAACACATATTATTATTATTATAATTATTATTAATAATACCAATACCACTACCACTACTACTACTAATAATAATAATAATAACAACAACAACAACAACAACAACAATAATAATACTAATACTACTACTACTACTACTACTACTACTAATAATAATAATAATATTATTAGTAGTAGTAGTAGTATTTTTATTATTATTGTAGCCTTCAAAAATATCACCAAATATTTCTACAAAATTACTTTTAGGAAATTCCAAATTATTTCTTTGGTATTTTGGATAAAATTTCATGATTATATACAGTATATTTTCAGTACCAATTAAAAGGTTTAGCATTTGCAGATAAGTATTTGAAATAAACTAAAACATTTAAAAGAAATACAGACTTCTCGTTTTGGATTGCTCGTAGTGGTTAGCACAGTCAGAGAGGATTTAACACATTTATTTAATTTAAATAAAGAATTCAAATTAACCTTCACAACATGTATTAGACCGCATCACTCAATCAGGACTCTCCTCTCCATCACACTAAGTCTTGAATCTGTAATTCTGTGCCTCTCACAGAATCCTTATGGCTCACCTTTCCGCGGCTGATTGTGGATGCTGATGGCTTGGGTCTGATACTGGCCATCGTCCCCTTGGACGCAGATGAGGTGGGAGTCCGCAGTCTCATTAAAACATGCCCCAATGGCCAGCACATGCTCATTGGACTTATTTAACGCCTTCATTAGCTAACAACAGACAAGTAGATAGAGAAAGGAGAATGACAATTAGTGATATAGTAAAAGCATAAGGCAATTTTTTATTTATGGCACCTTTTAGGGCAAATGCATGAGGACCAAAATGCTGCCTATTCTTAGTAACATTGTTTATGCAAGCCTGGGATAGAAGATTGGGGGGACAAACATGATACTGAATCTCTTGATACAATTTGGGGTTCATTTCCACTCTTACACAAACGTGTGTTGGTTGACACTATTGGCTTTAACAGAGGAGGAAAGAGTTGGGCTTTCTAAAGACGTGGACACAATATCCTTGGGCAACGAAATGCCTTATTTTACCCTTTATGTATTATAGAGCTAACCTCATTAAACCCAGTGGTTGGTATCTTGATGCAGGTCCTCTGAGCTTCTAGATCCACAGTGAGACCTGGCACCATGGGTAGGCTGTAACGGTAATTCCTAAAGTCCTGTGACAGGATGGGAAGAATATAATTTCAACACAGTTTATGGGAATTGCGATAACAGTTACAGTAAGTCACTGCACACTTCCTATTAAAAACGGGAAATGTCACTTTGTGATCGACAGTTGCTACAGGTTGTCAAACTCACCACGAGCAGTCTCATGATGGTGTGGCCTATTTCCCCAAACAAGGGCTTCCTAAAGCGAACACTGTACAGAGGACATGGGTAAACTGGAAAACAAAGTAAGTGAGTGACTACAAGGAAAAGCTGAGTAGGTAAAAAGTGTACTATTTCATACAACATCCTGGCTCACATCTGTATTCAGCCCCCAATCTCAACATGAGACGCAGAGGGAAGGCTTTGGCCCAGGCCACCTCTGCCCTGTGGACCAGCAGGCCGAAGAGGTAGGGCTGGTTTGGCAGAGGTAGACCTTGAAGAGACTGTAGAGTAGCACGAACGTACAAGAAGCCGGCATGCTCCTGACTGCCCAGAAAACTGCTGCCGAACAAGGACAGCGACAGGTTTTTCACAACTTTTCCTGCGCAAACACAGACAGAATGACTTATTAGAGTTACTATTATAACAGGAAAAATGCTCTGATTTAGGTAACAGCCAATAAAAATGTCAGTAAAACACATCAATGCTACTACGTGAAATGTCAAAGTGACCTGGAGTGAGCATGTGTTTGCGGCTCCGACCTGTGAGGGTGTCCCTGTACAGCTGGATGAAGTGGCTGAAAATATCTTTTGGGAAGCTTTTTTCTTCAGGTAAGCACTGCAGCAGCACCACCACCTCCACCTGGCCCACAGCATGCATCCCCTTTGTCGTAACGCACCAGCATTTCCTGTTAACATCTGTCACACAAATAATGTATTTAACCCTGAGGTTGTACAGGGAGAGTTTTTTTCCCACGTGGTTATCTTCTACAGGATACAAATGTTTCTATTCCCTGTAGTTCTTGCACCTTTTACTTCCATAAATTATGTTATTTGCTTTAAAATACTTGTACTGGCATCAGAAGAGAGAGAGGCATCTGTTATGGAGTCTTGCTACCTCTTAGGCTAGGATTTTGTGTTGTTCTTGTTTAAGATGACAAATTAAATGTCTTCATGTTGATCATTTTATAGATTTGTTTGTTTGAGGTCTTCCGTATTCCTATTGCTGCATTTAAAACACATCCACTTGCACATTAAATGGAGTATCCGTAACAGCAAGCCACCAATCTTTGCACAGATCCAATACAATAATAATTTGCGAGCCCTGTGAAAAATCTGCCTGTTTTACCAGAAATCAATTCCTCTTAAAGCATGGATCTATTACGGCTGCCATCATAGCTCTTTCTGTTTGAGAGCGGCAAAAAAGAAACGATTTCAAGTAATTTGGTACATGACAGCAACAACAACTATGTGGTGCTTATGGAGAGTGGCAGGGTTAAAAATGTCTACAGCTGTGCAGCCGTGCTGTCCTAGCAGACGTATAGTTTAGTGTACTGAAGAGTAGGAATTTAAAGACCTCATTAAAGTGATACTTGGTCACTTTTGTTGCAAGGAGTGTAAACAGATAACTTAAAGGGATATTCCGGCATAAAATTAATTTAAGGTTAAACACACCGTAACACAGAGTTAGACACCACCGTGAGAGATGAATGTTACCGACCACTTGCTTCTCTAGTTATACCAACTTTAGTAATGACTGCAAGATAGCAATACACAGCGGTCTATGGAGCCACACACAAACCTCAACCAAAACGCCAATCTATAGCCACAAATAATGCTCAGAACAGCACCTAACTTCATCAACAGTATATATAGGGTCCCAGCCATAACACTAGCCACCAAACATCTTTTTAACTTTGCCTAATTTCTTTCACAAAGAGACTAAACACAATTCACCTACTCTCTTCCAGCAGCCGCTTGTTTGTAGCGAGACCCCGGGCCAGTCCATTACGGATGACAGCAGGGTGACGCAGCTTAAGAAAGAACATTTATAATTTCTTCATGGAAATGAAATCAGACCGAGACGCTAAGGCAGAAGAACTACTGTGTCTGCAGTACAAAATGATTAATTTGATGATTATTACTTCAAGGAAATGATAAAAAAATGATCAAAAATGTTCTTCCCTGAGCTGCGTCACCCTGCTATAGTCCTTAATGGACTGGCCCGAGGTCTTGCTACAAACAAGCGACTGTTGGAAGAGAGTAGGTTAGTTGTGTTTAGTCTCGTTGCTAAAGAAATTAGGCAAAATTAAAAAGATGTTTGGTGGCTAGTGCTATGGCTGGGACCCTATATGTACTGTTGATGAAGTTAGGTGCTGTTCTGAGCATTATTTGTGGCTATAGATTGGCGTTTTGGTTGAGGTTTGTGTGTGGCTCCATAGACCGCTGTGTATTGCTATCTTGCAGTCATTACTTAAGTTGGTATACCTAGAGAAGCAAGCGGTCGGCAACATTCATCTCTCACAGGGGTGTCTAACTCTGTGTTGCGGTGTGTTTAACCCTAAATTAATTTTACACCGGAATATCCCATTAACCTGATTCTGTTAAATGAAATGGAAAACAATTTAGTTAATCTTTAAATAGATTATGAATAACTACATTCTAAGGAGGTGAATGTATGGGTTACAAAAGCTTAAAAACAGTAAATTTAATGATTTTCTTTTCATTTTTCTGGCACCTCACTCTTATCTGCAGGATTTATCCTCACTGTACTTGAATGCTACTGTGTCAAATATGTGACATTAGCGATGCAATGTGTTCTTCAAGATGAAAAGGCAGCACTTACAGTTGACCAACTTGACCATAGCGAGTAGGTTAGCGTTCAGGACAAACACCAGGGGCTTCGGCCTGCCACTCTCCAGTTCCTGGATTAGTAACATCTCAGAGGGCTGCTCCTCCACAGTGTAATCTGTGGGATTACAACAGTCATTATAGTCATTGAAGAAGGGCCCTTCAGGATACAAGGTAAGATAGCATTAATTCATACTTACATATAAAAAAAATAAAAACTGCTTCGCCAGGCACTTTGAGTTCTCCGTTATTGTGAAAGTTAGTGTAAGTCAGAAATAGACTTGACTTTAGACAGAGGTAAAATATAACCCCTGGATACACATTCACAAACTACCTGTCCTTGTGACTTACTTGTAGCATGCCAGGTTACATGCAATGCAGTGTTGCAGTGTTTCTGTATCTTATTGAGACTGGTTTCTGATAGGCTCTATTTTGTGGGATCCTGGGTGTGTATTCAAAGCCAAATATGGAGTATCCATGTGCACCTGCTGCTCTCCTTTTTAGTGCATAATTACAAACATGAAAGTGTTGCAAAGAGAGTAAAATACGTTTGTAGGGTTGTTTTACACCAGCCTGGTGTTTGGAGTGACATCTGCACTGTCCTGAAGAAAGCACTCACATTAACCTATTGATTCACACCAGTCAAGCCTAAACTAGTAAATATATTCAACACTATCCTGAAGAGACTGCTGGCGAACCCTTCAGTCATCAGTAATTTGTCAGCTCCTCAACATCAGAGACAAAAATCTCACCTAACCTAATGCTGCCTAATTTACTTCAAAGTCTATCCTGTCTCTCAGGAGAAGAGCGCACTAAAAGGTTGTCAGAACACCGACATCTGCGCCAACGTGAACAAAGTAAGACAGTTGTTTTGCATAATTTTTGAAGCACAATCTAACTCCTCTCTCACCTCCTTTGACTCCAGTGGAGGTGAGGATCGGCGGAAGGCCATTCAAGGGAATGAGGTTCACAGAGCTGCTTACTAAAGCGGTGGTTCCCCAACCATATGGACCACAAGCCTCCTAATGGAACAGGGAGGCAGAGAAGTGAGACCATATTTAAAAACATGAAGACAACACTCAATTCTTTTGGATTAATTCCAACTCTCCTACATTAATATTCGTCCCACGTGGCCGGAGAGCTCTCCTGAGCTGGGGTGACCCTACTGGACTTCTACCTGGCCCACCCAGAGCTCGTCTCATCAGCGGGGAGAATGTGGGCCCTCTTGTTGGTGTGGTTGGAGCAGACTCTGTCTGCTTACTGGGGAGGATTTCATCAGCAAACCATACCCGTCTTTTCCCCCTCGGAGGTGTGCCTGAGGAGAACATGTAAAAATGGCACATAAGTTTTAATCCAAACTGGAAAATTTGAGAAAGGAAAATTGTTGCTTACTTTTGACAAGCATTGAATGACAGGAAACACAAACTCGTCCCTCCTTTCCCTCCAGATGTGAGAGTCTGAACTTGAGGTTGGAGCAAACTGCACAAAAAACCTGCCATCACACAGTAACATTTCCCATGTCAACTACACTCAAAAAATGACTTTAAAATACAAACTTTGATATCTTTCCTTACCTTTCCACAAGCACGGCAGTGGTGCCTCCTCTTGGTAAACGTAAACTTGACTCCACACTTCATGCAGACCTGAGCCTGAGCATCAGGGACCCACACAGGAGCCACCTCTCCGAGCACAGTGCCTCGATCTTTGGACAGAATTCCCACAGGACTTGGCAGGGACTCATTATTAGGATCAGCGGGGGAGGCTGCACAGTCCCCCATCGCTCCCTCATCACCAGTGTTGCTGTCCGTCTCATTTCCTCCATTAGATATAAGCATCCTGAGCTCCCTGGGCCTCCTGCCATGTGTCTCCTCCTGTGAGAGAGCAGAGGGTGCTGCAGTCCCCTCTGAGCTGCAGGATGGCTCTTGCTGCTCCAGCCTGCTTTCCTCTAGCTCCTTCTCCTCAATCACAGAGTCCTCTTTCGATGGGAGAACCTTGTGTTTTCTCTCTTCCTCTTCATCCTCTTCTTCAGGCCACGCTGCCTCAGCTGGACTCAGCACCAAGGGACTGGGAGTCTCCCCAAAACAGCTCTCACCCCATGTGGAAATGGAAGTCACGGTGCAGCTGCCTTCCTCCAACTGGGAGGGGGAGGCAGTCTTGGCAGGATGTTCTGATGGTTTCTCCTCACATGGCCCTGAGCTGCTTCTGACTGACGCATCCGATGAAGTTTTCGATGGAGACTCTGCTCGTATTTGGCCGCTTCCCAATCCCGTTTTGGACACGTCCCCGTCATTGAGCACCAGCAGGCAGGGTCGGTTCAACCAGTGGTGCTTGGTGTCCTGCAGAGATGGATTGTCTCCTTCATCTGTAACACACAGTGAACGCGTGCTCATTAATAATGACTCATTAAGTAAGAGGGCTGTGTTCACTTACTCTAAGTGACCATTTAGCAGCATGTGATCATTGATTTCATCACCTTGGACATAACTCATTACTTCCCATCATCACTTACAGAAGTATTAGCTGTCAGGTGCCCTTGAGAGGTTGGTCTGAGCTGATCTCAGAGCAGCACAGAAAAGAGAAGAGAGAGACTAATAGATGTTCAACCAATGGCAGCAGTATAGGCAATTGATTGCACATAGACTCTCATTTGCTAGAAAGCAGGTCAATAGCGAGTCTACATCTAATTGGCTTTGTACATGGAGTGTCCATATAAAGCAGATGTTATGTTATTGTTTTACAGCTGTTTACAATGGAGTATATTCTGGTATTAAAGCATTTGTGTGGCTCTGATTGAAAACCCAAAACAAACTAATAAACGTTTTGCACATCTGAGCCTGGATCCAAGTTTTTCGCTTCTCTCTTGTCCACGCATAGGGGAGAGTGGGGTAAGTGGAGCCAAAGGGTAAGTTAAGCCACCCCCTGTTGTTTGAAAATGGTAAAAGAAATTGATCATGTGACCAAATATTTAGGCGATGGGCATCAATTCATGGAGTCTGTGAAGGTTAGAAGCACATGGGTGAAGGGGTTAGACATTTATTTCCAAAAAAACATTTTTCACTCTTGAAAGTGAATTTAGTCTGTCATAAGTTTTATTAGAATTGTGTTCAGACCAAAAAAGAGCAAAAAGTAAATTTGTTTTATACATCAATTGTGGTATCTATGAGCTACAACATGAGGTCGAAAACCTAGAATAAAAGTCCACCATTTTAGCGTAGAGGACTAATAAAGTCAGAATAGTAGTTTTGGGGTAAGTTAAGCCAAACTGAGAAAGTAAAGGAGTCTGATGAGAGGATCAGAGTTTCAGTTCAGATTGTTGAAATGTTTTTTCTTTTCAAAAATACAGCTGTGAATGTTCTGAATCACTAAAAGTCATTCTCATGTTAAAATGGCTTTTTTAGAAAACAGCTTTTTAGCAGTTATTTGCAATAATAATAAAAAAGAATTATTGTACTGGTTGAAGAGCGTATAGATAAAAATACACATGAATGTAAAGAAGTGACTGTTATTTAGGGAGAGAGAAGGTGAGGGAGGGCTGGGGTGGAGAGTGGTGGTTGTGGCTCAACTTACCCCATACATGGGGTAGGAGACCACTTTTTTGGCATGCTTTATTATCATGACAGTTCTGTTTACACTCATTCTGTTGGTTTGCAGGGATGAACAACATTTTGAAATATATGCAGATACACTAGTTAGAAACAAAACTATGATTGCCTTGATGTAGTGATCTGAAATATGAAAAATGTCTCATCTTACCCCACTCTCCCCTATTTTCTAATAACCTGATTAATGTGTTTGTATGAAATTGGTGTATTTGCTCATGATCTCGGCACGGTCTTTTACACTCAGAGGGAAATTACCTTCTCCTATAATAAAGCAAAATTACTGTTTATCTTCGGACACCCCTCCCTCCTGTGATTACGTAATGACCCTCTCTGTGCATTACCAGCGCGCGATGCAAAACCAGTTAATGTGTCCATATGGCTGCAGTTTTATTAAGCTGGAGCACCTAGAGGTTCATGAATAGTAATGACTGAAAACAAGCAAGAGAAAACCTTTACAAAACATTGCAACCCGGGGCTGTTCATCTGATATGATTTTGCTGCAATGAACACGCGGCTTGGCACCAAATGAGACAGATTATGTGATAGGTAGGATCCAGCTGCGTTCATAAAACGGGATAAAGAACTTAATTTACGGCTGAAACTGCATTGCAGCGTTATCAGACAGACATAAAACGACATGCGGGTCGTTTCCTGCTGTGGGCTTCAGTGAAAAGCTTTCCAGAAACGACGGCGGGGCAGAGCTGATCCGGGCTGACAGCAACGATCGCTTCCTCGGACGGTGACGCAAACAGCACACGTGCAAATGTTTAATCCGCTCGAAGGCACCGAGGCCGGCAGCAATGCGACACTCTGTCCGCATCCCGTAACAACACACCAAAACGGGACATCTCACTAGTGGGCTGTTTACCGTGAATGAAGAGAGCGCGCGTTATGTGCGCAGCATGTCTTCACATGTGCGCAATACGCACTCACACGCTTCATGGATGATGCGCGCGGCCGAATGCTGTATCAGCGGTTTTCAGTGATAAACAGACGCGCAGTAACATCATCCTGTAATGCCAATGCAATGCACGGGGTTGTAAAGCATCCCCGCCCCGCTGCAATTCTCTTACCCTCAGTTATTCCTCCCAAAAGGCTCTCATTCTCGTCATCCCGCGCAGAGAAGAACTTCAGCATTTTATCCGGTTACATCTGAGTGCAGAAGGAAACTGATCCAAGCAGCTCACAAGCGAAGGATGGGATGATTTCAACTCTCCAGCCCCTCTCTCTCTCTGTGATATCCCCCTCCTTCTCCTCTTCCTCTTCCTCCTCCTCCTCCTCCCCTGTGTCTCTCTGCAGCTCTTTGAAGAAACTCAAGAGGTGTGCAGAAATGTCCCTCCCTGGTTTGCTGTCCAACAGACCGCAGGACAACACACAGGGCTGCATGAAGCCACAAATGAAAAAACCTGCTTGCACGGACAACCTGTCACACTGTGTGTTGCGCTGCATGTCTTGGGTCTCAATAAGTCAGCATAATTGATAGGGAGATCATTTTCACATAAAAACCCCCAAAGACCCTCCCCCACTCTGGATGAGAAGCATCCATGATAATAACACAATCTCCTCAATGACCACAGCACCATCTACAAAATGTTGATCACCTTTATTTTGTTTCATAAACAAAAAGAAAAAAAAAGTCTTAAGACTCGATTTGATGACCCCGGTTTCCCCATAACTGACAATGTGGCGTAGGGTTTTAACAGTTTACCAGGAGGGAGGATTTTCATTTTCAATGAGAACACAAGTCAGTCTGACTTGGATATATTTGTGGGCCATCATGATAAAATAGAAAAGTCTCTGGTTTGGGAGGATAGTGTTTGATATGTCTGAACAACTAGACTTAAAAACACCCGTTTTTTTCTTTTTCACTTCATTGCAGTCCAGTCTGTTTACGTGTGATCTTCAAGTGTGTCAGTTTGCCTCGTTCTTTGATGCTTCGTCAAAGTTCTCCACCAGATCTGCACAACAAAACATCATATCAATTATTAAAGCAAAGGCAGTGAAATTTTTTTTTTCTTTATCCCTCTAAAAAAAAATGTTAAATGCTCTTAATTTTTCAGCAGAGAACAATGCATGGCTATATTTGTAGTGCAATCTCTCTGTAGAGCCATATTTTATATTTTGTGAAGAATTTAGCCCTTTAGAGGGTGATTAATTGCCTGGATATTGTTCTATAAATATTAAAAGAGTATTATTTTAACTCATCTGTAAACCCATACCTGGAACATCATCATCCTCCTCCTCGATGTCCTCTGCCTTTGGAGCCTTGCTGTCGAGGGCTAAAACAAAATACAGATAAAATGTTGTCATATTTTATACTACAGGATAGTTCAACACAGGCATTAGGAAGTTAAAAGTATAAAACATGTTGTATAAAAAATAAAAAATCTTTTTAAAAAGAGTTCAAGTCTATGTGACATTTTTGGATTTTCATTCAGTGATATGCTTTATTATCACAGACATTATTCCACACACACTGTCCTGCTGCTTTAAAGACCGACCAGGGCACCAAAGGTAAGATGACGGTTGACTGAAACTGTCTCAAATACATGTGCGTATCAAAAAAATCTGAACATCATTATTTATTTTTTTTCAGTTTGTTTAAAATTGTCAATTTTAATGACTTTGGCTTACAGCTCAGGAAAGTTATCCAAATCAGATGTTTGTATAAATTGGAGCAATTCCAAAAATCAGCGCATGCATGTAAAACACAAAAATATGCAACTGAGAAAAAGTTTATTTATACACTCAGTACTGGATCAATGTGGCAATCCAACTGTCAACCTGAAATCTCATCATCAAAAACAACACCGTTGTTTGTTGCAAGAACTTATCTTTCCGTGGCAATAAAATATCAGCAGATAAGACCATGACTGACCTTGAAAGCATAATATCAACACTCCTCCTAACAGCAGTGGAAAAGTTGTACTGTGAAATTTATGCATAGGTATTAACATAAGCACCTGTACAGGGTACTGTCCCTTGTGATTTTTCTGTCGATGTTTTCACTCCTATAAAACTGCTAAAGCCCAGGCTTTGTTGTGATTTGAGTCTTTTTTCAACTTTGCCATCACTCGTGCCTTTCTGGTTTCTGAGCAGTTTTCCTCTTCTCTCTTTCTTTCCTCTGCTGGTGACTGCAATCTTAAGTTTGGTGCTTTCAAAATAAATTGGGAGTAATACTGAAAACGTCCTCCATGATGTTAATTAGAAGCGTGTGTTTTTGTCTTGCTGTTCACCGGAAGAAGTGAATCAGTTGACTGTATAAATGTGTTAGAATGACTTGATATGTTGTGTGAGATCTGCTTGAATTTGATATATTCCTTTTAATTCAGTATTTCTGACTATTTTTTGACTTATCAGAATCAAGTTTTTATGTGGAGAGTGTAAGAAAGCAGTGTATGAATTTACAATTGGCAAAATAATTCAGTCTTTCAATTGCTTATCAAAAGCTGCAAGCATGCAGATCTGTGTAATAAAGCTTTAAATCAAGTATTCAACATCACCATTACACAGCTCTACCCAACATTGTTTTGTAACCACAGAAATTCAGACCCTCCTCTTTTATAATTACTGTTGTCAGAGGTCCAACACATTGAAGTGTACCCACCTTGCCGTGGAAACTGTTCGGCCAGTTTGCGCAGGCTGCTGAGGCTGTCCGCACCGAGCTGACTGAGGATGCCGGGGAGCATCTCCGTCAGCTGCTTGGTCTCAGCGTGGCCCGTGATGGCGAAGGTGTTAGCGGACAGAGAGGCCTGAACTTTGGGGTTGTTGAAGTGGATTACAGTCCCGTCATCTTTGATCATGTTCACCTAAAATGAGAGCACCACCTGGTTTTTACCTTCAAGGCATATCAACTAAGTGACACTTGAAAAAAAGCAGCAACCATACCAATGTACCTCCTCAATTCCAGCAATATTGTTGACAGCCAACTTCTTTAGTGAACTCTGCAGCTTTTTGTCATCTGCTGTTGCAGTTCTGTGGACAACCTTCTTCTTCCTCCTTGCAGATCCCTAAAACAAAAGTAGAGATAAGTGTCTCGTGACAGTGACAAGCAGCATGGGGAGAAAAACTACTCTGCCATCTAAAACTGAGCAATAGGGGAGAGTGGGGTAAGTTGAGCCACCCCCTGTTGCTTGGAAATGGTAAAAGAAATTGATCATGTGACCAAATATATAGGAAATGGGCATCAATTCATGGAGTCTGTGAAGGTTAGAAGCACATGGGTGAAGGGGTTAGGTATTTATTTAAAAAAAAAAAAAACGTTTTTCACTCTTGAAAGTGAATTCAGTCTGTCATAAGTTTTATCACAATTCTGTTCAGACCAAAAAAGATCATTTTAAATTAGTTTTATGCATCAATTGTGGTATCTATGAGCTACAACATGAGGTCAAAAACCCTGGGGTAAAAGTCCACCATTTTAGCTTAGAGGACTAATAAAGTCATCATAGTAGTTCTGGGGTCAGTTGAGCCAAACTGAGAAAGTAAAGGGGTCTGATGAGAGGATCAGAGTTTCAGTTCAGATTGTTGAAATGTGTTACTTTTTCTTTTCTAAAATACAGCTGTGACTGTTCTGAATCACTTAAAGACATTCTCATGTTAAAATGACTTTTTATAAAACAGCTGTTTAGCAGTTATTTACAATAACAATAAAAAAGAATTATTGTACCAGTTGAATAGCATATAATAGAGAAAAATACACATGAATGTGAAGAAGTGACTGTTATTTAGGGAGAGAGAAGGTGAGGGAGGGCTGGGGTAGAGAGTGGGAGGGTAGTAGGGATACAGCTCAACTTACCCCGCTCCTATGGTCAACTTACCCCATACACAGGGTAACTTGACCATAGGAGACCACTTTTTTTTGGCATGCTATATTATCAAGAAGTTATGTTTACACTCATTCTGCTGGTTTGCAGGGACATGTACAACATCTTGAAATATATGCAGATTCACTAGTCAGAGACAAAACTATGATTTCCTACTGTTTTCTTTTTGGATAGATGTATTGTTTGGGTGCTACTGCAGTGTTTAAGTGCATTTGTCAGAGTGATTTATATGTGGATCAGGCACTACAGTTTTCCTGACAGTAACTATTAATGTTAGAAACATGTTCATATTTATTTTCTTGAAATAAACAAAGATCAACACAGAAAACTCAATCACAGAACATGAAAGCATTTCTGGGTGTCAACTTACCTTTCCTCCTATCCGAACCTGGGCTTGAAGTTTGGCCAACTTTTCTTGATTCATGTTCTCACCTACAGTATGAGGAAATAGTTTAGAAATCAGCTTCATCAAATCAGGTAATAAATGTCTGTGTCAGCAGCTTAACAGCCTGTACTCTGCTTCTCTCCCTGTCAAATGTGAGCGGCTCGAAAAAAACACAAACACCAGCTACTCAGTAGAAGACAGTGAGAGTTTCGAAAGACGAAGCTAAAGCGTGTTTTATTATGATGTTACACCGAAAACATGACAACAGGCCGGGGACATCATGTCACGCTGATGCTATAATAACACAGTCTAGCTCCAGTTTGGCTGCTGAGAGGTTAGCAGCTGCAGTCATGAAAACACAACACAGCAGGGCCTACAGACTGAGAACAGAGCGAGTTACAGCTCCGCTCAGCCACACAGCTCTACTCCGACCACAACAAAACAACAACAACACACTCCACAAACACCGCACACTACACACAGACCAATATTTATCCTCTCAAACCTGCACAAAAATCCTCTGAGGCATGCGGTGCTGAAAGATGGAGGTGGCTGAGGAAGGGATTACGTCACATACCATACGGGATGTTTCTTCTTCTTCGTTTATGGTGAATGGAAAGAGGTCGAGTGTCTGCCGCCACCTGCAGGACACTCTGCGAAATTACACCAACAAACCGCGTTTTACCTCTGGAGTATAGACTGTACTGTATATAGAATGGACACCGTCTGCCTCCCCGCTGGGTGAAGCCACCCCGAGAACAGCATCCTCTGGTGACGGGCTGCAGTGTAGGTCATAAATCCCGCCTCCTCCAGCAATCCCTATGGAGCTGTGGACAAACTTTAGAAATTTATTACACAGAACATAGATTTTTTCCACCTTAGTGGAGTTATTGTAAGACTGGTATTTGCTCTAGTCCTCTTTTTTCTGTACAGCTCCATTTTTGAAAGTAATTAGGGGGTGCTCATATTTTTGATGATTGACACTTGATACAGCCTATAAAGTGTAGCAGCACCAACATCAGCACGGCGGGCATGGTTAGTAACATGCCAGCGCAGCCAGACATGACATTACAACACTAAGCGCATTGGAATAAATGAAATTAGGATGACTTTAGGTTTTAAAAAACAACTATTTATTAGCTGACCACAGCTGTACCTCATCGAAGGAACAAGCTACATTTAATTCCTTCCATAATGAAAAGTCTCTCTTGGCCCACTTTTTTTTCACATCTGGGAGGATACACAAACTGCAGATGCACAGTGTCATACACACACACACACACACACACACACACACACCTGAACAAACTCTTATGTATGAGGTACTGCATCAAATGCACTCGGTTAAGTGGTGGTAGCATCTCGAAATCATCTTCTGACCATACAGTGTGTTCATATGGTTGAGTCCAGCAATGTCCGCAATTTGCTTAGGTAACGCTCTCTTTCTTCATTGTTCAGCTTGTCTCTGTACATTATGTTGAGTCCATGTTTTGCTCTTTCCATTCCGTTCTCCGTTACTGTGTAGTCAACTAATAAATATTTGTTTTCTTAAAACCTAAAGTCATCCTAATTTTATTCATTCCAGTGTGCCTGGTGTTGTTATGTCTGTCAAAATGGTCGCGCTGGCACGTCATGCACCACGCCCCTTGTTGCAACATCGGCGCTGCTACAATTCATAGGCGTACAAGGATTGTGTAGCTCACCTGGGGGATATGCTGTTTGAACCGAGCGTCATCACGGCGTCTTCCCTGCCGAATGCGTACAATGCTACAGCGCAAGTGGTGGAGTGCATACAACACTACTGCCCAATGTTGGTTTCAAGAAATGGAGAAAAATCAAGTTGTCCATAGTATATACAGTCTATGCTCTGGAGCAGTGACTGATCCCGACTTTTTGACTGGAGTGGCCTAACTAAAGCATTGACTATTACAAATGAACATAGTTTATTAATGCCATCTCACTCTACGAGTCATATCTACTTTGACTGATAACATTTTAACTACATTGTTCGTAGCAGCAAGGTTTAAAAATGATGTGCAAAAATATCAGTGGCCAATAATACTCTCCACCACTAAGACTGTGCAATAACAACATGCAATATTAAAAATCAGCTGTGATAATAAAATGTGCAAAAACAGCTCTAAAAGAGCTCAGAGAGAAATTATTTCATGATAAGAACTAGTTATTTTTGTCTAGCTATAAGGTGCTTTAAACTCCTGTGCAGCATTTGCTCACGTATTAAGTGTTTAAGTTTGTTTCTGAAATAGTTATGGATTTAAATTTAATTCCACAAAAAGTGGAAGGAGAAAAAGTTAACGTCTCATCTTCCCTCCTGTTTAATCTTTTTTTTCCCTCCTGTATTGTATTTTATCTCATATTTTGTGATGACTTTGTCATTGCTACAGCACAGCTCTTAAAAACCTGTCAACAGTGTGCCACCTTAAAATCAAACCGAACCCCCTTAGAGTAACAGTCAGAACAGCAGGATCTGTTATTAGCATGGATACTATCAACACAACAGCTGGACATATTTTTCCTCCCTTTGAAATCATAATTAAAACAATTAATTTTAATTGAGTAATTATAACTCGTTACAAATGAATACTGAAAATAGTCTCTAATATCCTGCTGCCAAACTCTACACAACATAGAGATGTGAGGCTTTTATTAAAGTAATTTCTCTTTGGCATAGATCACCATGACTAATCATGAGGGATCCTATTTGATATTTATTCACTTTCACTTTTATTACATTATTCATCCCAGATCAACAGAGAGCATTTGATTATAAAAATATGACTTGTCTGGAACATTTACCTACAAGCGGATCACTGACTGGCTGGCAGACCCTGTTACGTCAGATTTTCTTTGGTCTTGCTTGGATAAAATGACTGGATTTGACTCTTCTCAACAGTGTGTGTCTCCAGATTTCAGTATTTGGCAGATTGAATCAAAGCCCAGATACCTTACATGATTTTAAACAATCTGCAAAATGCACAGTTAGAGCATCTTTTTGAATCAAAAACCTGACGTATTTAGATGCAGCCTGAATTTGTTTAACAATTAAATCAATCATCACCTTTTTACATATTAAATCAACAACATATTTCTTATTCATTTCTATTGTGTATATGACTGTTTTTGGCTAATAGAGGAGACAGTTTTATAAAACATATGCTGTATAAGACAAGGAGAATCAAACACATTCAGTAAAAATAGTGTGAGGACTACAGAGCACAGAAGGAAGCTGCTTTATAGAAATTCAGCACCATTAAGAACAAAGGCAGAAACATTCCCAGAGGAGAAACACATTAAAGAAATTACTGAGAATGACAGTTTTTTTTAACAGTGTTGTAATAAAGCCGTTCATTGTCGTCATGGTAATGTGTTTTGTGTTTTCTCTTTCATTAACTTCTGGTCCAAACAACTGCTTTGATTCTGAGCACTGCATGCAGAGATATACAGGACCGTGATGTGGAGTTAGACAGTGTGAGAGAGAGAGAGGGCTGCCTGACATCTAGAAGTGGTGAAACATTTTTAATGAGCCCTTACACATGAAGCTCCGAGGAGGAGATTTGAGTTGGTTATAAAACAGGCTGAAATCAATAGGGATGTCTCTTTAATACCTTCAAACCTTAAAAAATAAATACATGTTAAAACATTAGTCTGACTGGAATCTCATTAAATTCAACTTCTCACACCTGGATGATGATTGATTGATCTTCTCTCTCATGTATACTGATCAATTCTAACAGATCGTTGGCCCAATCGTTCTGCACGTGCTCCAGCGTTTGCATGCTGGGCTGTAAATTGAAGTTGAATAGCACAACTGAGTTGCTAAAAAACCTTAACAGACAAAAAAGTTTTAAAAATATATATATTTCTATAAACAAACCACAGAGATGTAAAAGTGATGATGTTTTCATCAATCAATGTTCGTCGATTGTTTTGGTATGTGATAGGTCAACCTAGGGACAACCTGACAGTGATGAGCTGAAAAGGGGGTATATCGCCACCTACAGCAGCAGAAGTTCACAAACTTCAATCAATAACTTGATTCTTGCCTGGTGTTTGTAAACTGGGACAAGGCCAACAGTTAAGTTAATTCACCCTATCAAGCTTTGACCATGTCACAACTTAACTGTCAGTGCTACCCCAGTCAGAAAGCTCTGCAGAGGGGTCCTTGTCAGACCACACCAAAGACAACACTTGAGAAAAAGCCCTGTCTTTACTTTAATAGTTTTGCACAGCAAATATTAAAAATAAGTGATATATATTACTGAGATCTTTTTTGACAGAAAATACTATATGCATGTACAGGACAAGATCTGTGAAGAGACAAAAGGTATTACTTTTTCCACAGGAACCCCAAAATCAACACAAAGGCATTAAACAAATTTTTTTTTTTTAAATATATGACTTTGACTGAATTTCATGGCACTCAAAGCCCTGTCTTCAGTGATATAGATAGCCTAGTGATAGCCCGGTGTTAACATGTGTACTACAGCTAGCTTCCTTAGACAGACTTACTGTGCTCAATTGAATGAAGTATGCTGAGTTCCTCTTACAACTCCACTGTAAGAGAAAAAAAAACTATTTCTTACTGTGGCTGTTGTATTGTGTGACCACTATGAAACTTTGCAGACAGATATAGTACTGAATGGATGCACAAAACAAGGTGAAGTCAACATGATACAAGATGGCAATATTTCTTAGTAATTCATGGTGACAAAAACCTAAGTGTCTTGTAAAGGATATATCGACTATTTTCTTCTGTATTCCACCAGAGTTTAACATCTCAGTAGCCCTTTTTCCTGTCTTATTTATTTACTTTTTTTGCCAGGGTTTCATAGTTCAGGTCACCACATCAGGGCTCAGGTGATAGATTTGATTGCTGTGTCCGGCAGCGGTAATCTACTAAGCCCATAAGATGGACCGGCAGCCAGGTTGCTGGTCTCCAATGAACTGCGGAGCATACTGCGCTGCCAGCTGTGAAGGTCCTGTGACTTTATGCCCCAGCAGCTGTGAAACAACACAAAGAGTTTCCTCAGGACAGCCTTCCTCAGGAGGATGTAGACCCACGGGTCGAGGATCTGGTTCCATGTGGCCATGCGTACCACCATTAGGAGACTGAAGGAGGTTGGCTCGCCTGAGGCTCTGGTGCTCAAGATGATGACACGGATCTGCACAGAAATGTGTTGATTATTCTGTGTTGTGGTGGAGAAGGAGTGTGAGGAGCTCATGGTGTTGGTGACAGAGTATCATTAGAGAAGCAATTAACAGTACATGAAGAGGGTGTCTTATAGAAGGCATATTTGTTGAGTTTGAGAAGGATCAAGTGGGTATTTTGGAGGATCGTGGTGTGTGTGTGTGGGAGTACTCAGAGATCAAAAGCACTAAGCAGATTTTAAGGAATTTAGAGGAAAGGTCAAACAGGTAACTCTTAAAGTGTTTCAGAGTCAATGCCATAAATTTGGAAATGGATGAAAGCTTTACAGGGAAGAATGTGAAGGGAGGACTGAGTGAAAATGGAAAAACAACAGTACAAAGTACCTTAAAAACAGTTCAAGATAATCTCCAAACATTGCAGATGATAAAACGCTGTCAGGGCTCTACAGCATTTTAAAAACAATTTCCATTTCTCTGGAAGTCTGACACTTTCTTCCTCTATGCTCAAAATTCAAGTCAGACGCTGGCAAACAGGTGCTGTGGTTTGAACATCAGAAAAATGACAGCATAAGGAAATGTTCAAAGCAATATCAGTGCCGCCTTGAAGTGGGTGTTTGCTTGGATATCAGGTACTGGGAGTCTGTGAGTGCAGCCTTCTCTGATTTGATTTCTAAATGAACCAATTTCACAAAAAATAACTTTTCCCACAAAAAAAGAAAATAGAATAGAAAAAAAAGTACACTTTTGATGATACACGCAGTGGCACACTCAGTAAACTGTGACATGCCAGCAGATCACTGTCGGGAACCGTCCACAGATTCAACAATCCCTTTAACAATCCCTTTAAATGTCAAACTCTAAGTGCTTGGGATATATGTGGAGGATTTTATACAAACACAGAAACAGACAGGGCTCCATTAAATCTTTTTTAAACCATCTCTAAACAAGGAGAGCTATTACACAACGTTGACAGAGTCTTGATTCTCCATCATTGGCAATGTGGGCGAAGGTACTTTCAGACTGTACTGGTGTGGAACAACAAACGGATAGACTGTTAACCAAACATGACCATGTGCACGGGCAGAAATGTGGGACTAAACTGTGAGGAGATTGTAAAACCACTGGAAATGTTTATTACTGTTTTACCCAGTGTGATACTGTAACACCTTGATTTAAGATGTGTCACTTTATGGTTGTTGCTGTGGGGTCTCAGCTGTGACTACATACTTAATACACTTAACTAAATATACCTTTGGGATGTGGGGACAGCAAGAGCACAGGGGCAACTATGCATGTCCACCAGGACTGTAATAAAACTGAACCTTCAATTACCATGATACATTCACTTCACTGTAGGAAACAGTATCAGTGTGCCAATAACAACTAATAACCATTCTAAAGACACGCAAAGGGTAAATGAATAGGGAGGAACGAGGGTAGGTATATGTCAGCTAAATAGCTTCAACCTATTCCTTTTTGATCTCCAAAAAATATGGAATTCCTTGTTTTGTCTAATTGTACTTTATGTATATATAATAAATATTTTATTTTGAATAAATTATGAATAATAAATAATATATTCTATTCAATATATTAAAACTTAAAAGGGAGTGCACTATTCAAAACAGTATACTGTATACAAGCCAATATATTTTACAGCTATTTTTAAGTTAAATGATGCAATTTATCTCATCTATCCTGAGAAAAATAGGAATTTACAAATTAAACTTAACAAAAATGAATCTCATCCAACAGTATCCAGACATGATATGTGTGTGTGTGTGTGCACGTGCGTGTGCATGGTTTGTATTTAGAGTCTCAGTTTGTTCCCTTGCCATTGGATATGACCCCGTTGTGATGATGTAAGAGGGCGACAGAAGTTGTTGTTTCTGTTTGCAGTTTTGTGTCAGATTGACTATGAAGAAATGATCGCAGGTCACTGATCTTAATACCTGATACCTAGACTTGAGTCTCGGTCAGTGCGGACCCCACTGATACCAGCATGATACAAACTAATTTACCACAGAGTTCTGACTTTCATTACAACCTTGGGAATGAAGCAGAGTTCCTATTACTATCAAAACAACTGACTGTTTCGTGGAAAAAAGGTTATAATATTGGATTAGCATGTTGGTATACTGGATGTTAGCCAAAGTTTAGACTGATTGGAGGCTGATATCAATACCAATGCTGTTACTGAAGCCAGTATATACTGGTATTCAGATACTGGAAAAGATCTGGATACTGATATGAATAGGAATACTGATACTAGTTTAAATACAGATAACAACAAAGAGGCCAAAACTTAAAACAATACAAATACTGAAACTTACCAGTAACGGACCCCAGCACACACAGGACACCAACATGATCGCCAAGAGCTGGCAGATCATCTCTATGTGATAAGACGGGCCTCTGCAGTGATGTTTGCGCCTCAGTCTGGCCTGCAGCAGTGCACAGCTGGTCAAAGTGTTGCACACAATAGAAAGCAGTAGAGCCAGCAGACCCAGCATGGAGAACAACAGAGGTAGGAGCACATCCAGCCAGTCTTTCGGCTCCTCCATGTGGAAGAAACACCAGCTCCTGGAGCTCTGAACACTGTAGGGCCTCCACAGAACCACAGGCAGCACAGCCACCAGCGCAGCCAACAACCAGGTGAGTCCCAACAGCATTTTCATATGATGGGATGCCAATGCTGTGGAGTGGAAGATAGGCCTGGTGACTCCGATGCATCGCTCTATAGCCATTGCACTCCCCAGGAACAAGGGGCTGAGGCCAAAGAAGACCATGCACACCCCGAAGACGCTGCACACAATACGATGAGGGTCAAATGTCTCCCATTTCTTGTGGGAGCTGTAGACGTACAACACCAGGGAGCCATTGATGAGGTGACCCAGCAGGTCTGTGACCACCAGGCTGCTGGCAAACAGCAGGAAGGATGCCTTGGACTTGATCCGGATGCGTTTGTAGGATTTGATGAGGATGAAGAGGGCGAGGCTGTTAGACAGGATGCCCACGGTCATGGAGATGGCAGAAGTGGTGACGGAGAGCTCCTTATGGCTGCAGGTGGTGTTGCTTGGTCTGACCTCTGACCTGCAGCCTGTTTCTGAGCTCCCATTGGCTGACATGACAGTTCAAAATCTGTGGGAGAAAGTGGTTGATTGACAGCATGGTTCATTTACAACAAAACATTTGAAACAAAATATGTGATGATGATGAGAGACCCGGTGATATTATTTTAAGATTAAGCAAAATTGTTATAGTCATCTTGGACTAGCTGTTTTTCTGTATTTTTTCTGCATTTATTCTGTAATTCTGTAAGTTTGTGCTGATATAGGATAAAGGTACCGACAATATTTCAATCAGACTGAAATTTTTATTTAAAAAAATGTTTTAAAACACCCTCACAAATGCAAGAAATGATCTCCAATGACTCCAGAAAGAGCTGCAAAGCCGTGAGGAATCATGTAGACTTTCTTACCTCAAGTTCGCCTTCGCACACACCGCGCCATGAGTTAACAGTCTCCGTTCTCTTTGCCTTTATCGGTGATCAATAACACAAGTTCACATCCTGTCAGTCTGGCAAGGACGATTTAACGTCCTGAAATAAAAGGATCTCCTCAGTATTCCTGCAGAAACGATGTGCGCAACTGGTTCCGTCTGCGCTCTGCTGGAGCCGAGTCAGTGAAGGAGGCATCAGAGTCTGTCTGAGCTCAGACTCTCACACACCTTACTGGTTGAACATAATTTTCCCACTCCGCTGAAGTCGACTGATGTTCTGCAATATATTTAACCCACTGATCTAAAACAACTGTTCCGGAAACACGCATGATATCACAATTACGCACGAGGTCCAAACTTTATGCGTGGCATTCATTGAAAAAAAAAAAAAGATAAGGGGCTGTTCATCACTGGGTCTGACTTTTATTTTGGACGCACTCACCAGCATGTCCTTTCTTTTTTAATTTACTCATTGTCATCATTGTTTGTTGTTGGATTGTCCTGCTGCTTGTTTTTGCATTCAGAAACAGGTTTTCATATATGGTGGCCGAGAACCGCCACTGCTGCAAATAAAAAAAAAAAGAATGCAAAAAAACAAACAAACAAAAAAAAAAGAAGTCACAACAGAATTTACTGATGCAAAATAACAAAACAAAAAAAACCTGAAGCCCACTGCAAATAAAAAAGAAACAGTGCAGATAAAAGAAAAAAGAAGCCACAATGGCAAAAAAAAAAAAAAAAAGTGGCGATGGAAAAAATAAGTTACTTACTGAAGTTGAACTGGAGGATACCAGTGTAGTGTTAGCTTCAGTTCAACTTATCGACTCAGGTACGACATTTTTTTTTTTTCTTGAATCGCCACTTTTTTTTGCGTCATTAACTTCCATTGTGGCTTTTTTTTATTAGCTCCATTTCTTTTTTTAATTTGCAGTGGGCTTCAGTTCCTTTTTTTTTTTTTTTTTTTGCATTGGTAACTTCCATAGTGGCGCCTTTTTTTTGCATTCTTTTTATTTGTAGTAGTGGCGGTTCTCGGCCACCACAGTCAGCCCCTCCTGAGATATGCAGGGAGATGTACAGAGAGTCCTGTGTCTGCATAAAATCACCACTGGAGACTTCAATATTTCTTTCCATTTCCATAAAGATGCAGACAGGTCTGTCTAACTGTAAAATTAAAATATTGCCACATGTTGCAAAGGTGTCTATTATTCCATCCCTTTGTTTTTTTCTGTTAGATATTTAATTTTTTTTGCCTTTTTTAAAAGGAAAATAGTAAGAACATCACCTGATATTTCAGCACAGCAGCTTTAAAAGCTATTATCCATTCTTAAACCTAAAAAATATCCAAATATTTTCAAGTCTAATGGTTCTGCATGTCAGGGGTGCCAACAGTGCATAACTGTAGTATGATACAAAGAAAACATCTCAGTCTGAGTGAGAACAAAAGGTTGAATTCTTCATTGCAACATCAGTCCTTGGCTCTGACCAGACAGACTGCTGGGCTGTGGTTCAAAAGTTTCACTCTTACTACTCTGCTGTATGGTATGCAAATTCTAAATCAAACTTAACATTACTTTTATTATAAATTCAGATTTTTTCCAGTCCCTGTGTTCTGGATGCTAATTTTATGCAAGAACTAGAGTGAATCCATAAAGCAGCCAACCACCTGTTTTTCTGTTCCTGATTCCTGAGAGATGAGAAAAGAGCTTGAAAGCAAGTTGATGTTTGAAGATGAAGTGTTTAAATCACTAGGTAGGAGTTAAAGACATGTCTATTTTCAATTGATTTTCATGGACAAGTACCTTATACAACTTCATTAAAAAAGAAATTTAGAAATCTCAGATGATGTTTTTTTAAATGTTGAAAAGGATATTGATAGGTCGGGAGTTGAGTCACTGTAATGGTCTCTGTTTGACGACTGCAACAGAGAGGGTTTCAGAGTTTGACAACAACAGAATTATTTGATTGCAGATTTTGAGGTAAAACCGTACAAACAGCTTGATTAACGCACAAAATCAATACTGCGGGTTGTCTGAGTTAGTAGATGTGAGCAAAGGAGGTCTTCCTGATTGAACCTGAGTTTCATTTACACTCCAAGGACATATTAACACACCCTGGTGTCTGAAGGGTTTGGGGTTTCCCTGAGGCTAAAGAAACCCTTAGAAGACTTTACCTCAAAGCTCAAACAAAGCCTAAATATTGAACCTTTTTGTTTTTTTTTTTTGCAGAAGAGTCACTGATGTTTAATCACAAATTCTCCAACATACATCAAGTTTTGACATTTAGGAATCCACCTCAGGAAAGTTTAATGTCCATACTGACAATCCCTTAACATTGTTCTAATGAAGATCATGTTTGTTGTTGTATTCTGTCATCACAGCTTCTGCCTGCAGTTTTTCTCTATGCTGCTCACACCCCTGTTTCAATGTGAATCAGAGCATCCCCAGGGAAACATATTTAGTTTGCTCACACTCAGTACTTCTCCCTGAATTGTGTTTTGCTGAGTTTTCATTTGTGCCACAAACCCAATTTATTTCTAGAGATCCACCACTCTGACAAAACATAACCATCTTTTTGCAGCGAGTAGAGTACACACACCCTCACACAGACCCACTTCAGTACATCACTATGTAATAAGGAGAACATACTTTCTCATGAGAAAGTATCTGAGCAATGTTTTTTCCAAGCAGGGAGGAAACTTCAACGTTCACATGATGATTTTATGAATAGTTTGATAAGGGTTTAGAATCACTTTTACGTCCCACGCCTCTTTTTGGAAGGATAAACAAGTTGTTGATAAGAGAAAGCTGCAGACAAATAATTCTTTGGCCTCGTTTTCTTCCTTCAGTCGCTGGGGGAGTGCAGTCAAATAAAACTTATCTTGCCCTCAGAGGTCAGAATATTGATTGATTTTTGTCTCCTGACGTCAGTGCAGTGCCAGGAACAACTTCACAACAACGTTCTTGAACATCAGCCATGGTGCCAGGCAACACAGCAGCTGAAAGCAAATATCACTTCATCACTGACTGTAATTATTATTAGGGCAGGGATTCAGACAGATGCAGAGCTTAATCTAGACTCCTGTAGTTGCTTTCAGACTTATTTTGTGTTAATTATTTCCTTTGTTACTCAGTGCTGCTGCATGTTTGAGGGATTTTACAGCGTTACCAACCATGTTTCATATCAAACTCCGAAACGCAGAGGTTTTTTCTGAAAAAAAAAAAGATGTCACATGAATACAATCATGTCTTAAGTTTTGATGAAATTATATGTTTTTATCCTCTGAACCTGCTTCCAAAAGAAAAACCACTGCAAAAGAGGTTGTATCATGTTTCCTTTTTACTGTTATTCGCTTCTTTTTTTTTCTTTCTGCAATTGAGTACGGTGGCCCCAAAGGTTAATTGCATTAACATGTCATGACCACAAAAACCCAAATTCATTTAACTGATGAAATGAACACCAAAACCATTTTTGCAAAACATACACTCATGAAAACAAAACAAACAAACATAAATCTTTAAACAAAAAAATTCACAAAAATGTTTCAGGATCACAAAAGTTTTTTCAGGATATCATAAAATATTTCAGAACCCAACATGATCACTTCACAAAGTTAAAAAAAAAAAAAAAACCTCCTCAAACTTTTTGTTTCGTAAAATGTGAATTCTGAGAATTACTCTTTGCAGCTAATGAGATATTTTTTCCTTTCAAGAACTGTTTTTGAATTTTGTAAAAAAAAAAAAAAAAAAAAAAAAAAAAAAACAAGTAAAAGTTTATTTATTTATTTTAAAATATGATTGATTTGTTATTACCTTTCTTGAAATGATTTTGGAGTTCAGTGAAATACTTTTTCTGAGGAGGGTCATGAACTGTTTGTTTAGTTGGGAGGCCCTGTAAATTAAGCCACCCAACTCTACATTACACGTCCCGTTAAAACTCTTTCACGCACCAGTAGGGAGTGACATTAATCAATTTTTCTGAGCAAGTGATCACAACAAATCTGCAATTCTCTCTCTGAATTAAATCCAAAGTCCCTGAAAATCCTGCCAGATACACATAAAATAAATTACTTCTACAAAAAAAAGAAAACATCTGTGGGATCTTTGTTTGTCTTTTGTTAATCTAAGAGGAATGTTTCAGGTTTCTTTGTGTTTTGCAATTATTTCAGTGCTAAACTTAATGACACCTTTTTACAGAGACCAAGTAATACACACCTGTTTAAAAAAGATGGTACACAGTAAAATAAACATCTGTTTTTTTTGGGATTAGATAAACATTTGTGGGTCATTGTGAGTTTTTCAAGTGCTTTTTTAATAGAAGATTTCGTGTTTATGGGAAATTAAATGGAAAATAAAAGCAATAAATTAAATACATAAACTGTCATATTTCATCACAATCTATTTGGAGGAGATTAATTTATCAAAGTGTATATTTTCACAAATTCTTGACATTCAGTTAAGTTTATTTAATGTCTAAGGTGTAAAATGAAGATACAGATGTGTCTGTTCCTCTTGGACAGAATGTCTTCTCCCCTCACTGTGATAATGAAACCGTCTTTTGAGATTCTGCATGCGGCCAAATTGTCTGTAACAGTCCGACAAGGTGACTCTGGATGAAATCTTCTCCTGGGTGACATTGCACCTTCACTGTGGTGTCACACATTGTCTGCTGCCTGCTGTAATGACCAGCAGCTCGGCGCTTGTGACAATGCAAGGCAAGCAAAGGCATGGGAGTGCAATCACATTCTTTTGTTGGCTGCATCAAATGGGGCCGCTGTAATAGACTGACTGCCTCAGTGGGGTTCAGATGGAGCCGTGAGCAGTTTTATCGAGATGGGAAAATAAGCCCAAATGCAGGCTTTCTGCCAGCAGCACTGCCGCTTCCTCCCCCTAATCACAAAAACACTCCTGTGCCAAGATTCACAGATAACAAAGTACTCTTCCTCTGTACTTGTTCATCTCATCCCTCCATCATGTCTTCGTCTGTCATACTGACCCAAAAATTTCCCTCGTTTTTGATGGAGCTGAGTTGGTGTCAGCAAAGCAACAAAATGTGACAATGATGTTTGTCAAACCAGAAAGGGACACCTGACGACAGCAGTTGGTCAAGAGAGGAAGAAAATCTGCAGCTCTTTGAACACGGGTTAGGTTAGCCAATGTGTGCTAACATCATCCCAAACTCTTTCAAATATTTCCTTTTTGTGCAGACATGACCTTGAGGTTCAGCTCTCCACCGGTTGACTTTTCTGACCTTCAAATGACAACAGAGAAGTGCAGGAAAAAAGGAGAACAGCAGCTACTTTCTGACTTACAAGATAACCACATCAACTGAACAAATGTTTC